GCTGGCCCACTCCTTACCCTTCTTAACTCTATTCTGTCTCTTGCTTTTGCTTCGAGATTTCAGGCAGTTTGGGGATGTAGGGGAGCATTCTCCTTTGTTCTGACAGGGCTTCAGGGGAGGTGCCCATGGGTGCCTGAGCTGTTCCCTGCTCCGGGCCCTTCTTAGGTAGCAGCCCTGGGCTAGAGACCTAGCCCCACACTTCTCTCAGAAGCTGCTATTATGTTCTCTTCCTCTCTGTGTCTCATTGAGCTGAAGTGGATTTTCACCAGTGTCTAAGGAGGATGCGCAAGTGCCATTTTCCTTTGCTCCTTAGGGGAGACCGGGTGACAAAGGTGTGGGTGGAGCGGGCAGGTACTGTGATCCCTGTTAGCACCTGCCATGCCCCTCTCTCATGCCAATTGTGAGTGACACTTCCCTAAGTTCTTCTGTGTGCGTGTGTGTGTGTGTGTGTGTGTGTGTGTGTGTGTGTGTGTGTGTGTGTGTAGAAGCCTCCATTGTAGTTTGTAGGGGTGGGGTGGATCATGAAGAGGGCATGGACTCCCCCCACCAATTTCTGCAGCTCTAGCTGAACTGCTACTCTGGTGTTTGGCTGTGTCTACCCAGGCAAGCTGGAGCTTAAACGTTGTCCTTTCTGTAGGTTGAGTTCTTGGATTGGGGCCAGTTGCTTGCCCTGTGACCGCAGAGAAAGGCATCGAGGACAACTCCTGAATTTGTCTCTTGTCGGGCTTATTTCATTGTAAAGTTGGGAAGGATGCTCTTTTTAGCTCTCATATCTCTCAAGCCCAGACTGAAAGCCAAGTGTTCTATTTGAGCTGTGTGAATTGAACTCTATGTCCTGCCAGGTGCACTGATAACACTGGAGCCGGGATTGGAATCTAGTGTTCTTGTGTGTGTCTCTTCTTAGCTCCCTTCCTTCCTGGATCTACATTTCATTCATAAAATATTTACTAAGCACCTATGTGTTGGAAAAGCCCTAAACCTGAAGCAGAAATAAATTTAAAGAATTAGTAAGGGACTCACATATTTAATGCGAGTGTGATCATAAGAGGAGTTGTCATGGGGCACTATGGGAGGGTGGAGCCACCTCCCCTTACGGAGCATGTGGAAGTTTGTGGCTCACTCCTACCCAGGAAATCAATTTTGGACCTAACTTCATTCTGTCTGCTTCCTTCCTTGCTTGCTTTTCCTTTTTGAGACAGGGTACTGCAATGTAGCACAGGTTGGCTTGGAACTCACTGTGTGTGTAGCCCAGACTGCCTCAGTCTTCATGAATACTGGTGTACCACCACATCTGGCTTTATCAAGACTTTTTTTTTTTGCCATTAAGTTCTGTGTGACTAGGAGCTGAATCTGAAAGCAATGGTACCACCTCCACAGAGCCAAAGACTGCATTGCCGTCTTCTAGAAGGGTTTTCCCAACAGACATGGGGCCCGAGTAACCTTGACTCTCCACAGCAGGAGACTCTAAGACAAGTTTCTCTAAAGTATATGCTGTTCATATTAGATGTCTTGTTTAATCTGTTAAGAGGATTGATGAAACCAACTTAAAACTTGTTTTAGTAACAGCCCACACCACAGGCATGCACATTGGGTTTGGATCCACTAAGCTGCCTCATGATGCTAAAGGGGGGCACTAGACTTCAGCAAATGGTTCATTAGTAGAACTCTGTTCTATTCATTTAGATTAAAATATGCTGTAATGATTTCTAGGTAGTTTTATCATTTATTAAGTAATTTCACTTTCAGAATTTAAGTATGTATGTATGTATGTATATATGTATGAATATATGTATCATATGCATGTCTGTATGTAGTCTCTTCAGACAAAGACTCAGATGTACAAAGGCAGATAGAAGACAGACAGACAGATACACACAGAGGTGTGGGGAGCTTAGAGAGAAGGGGACCGAGACCAAGAGGGGGAGGCCGAGAGAAACAATCAGAAGCAGACAGAGACAGACACTTAGAAGGAAAGGCAGAAGAGGACAGGAACAAGAGAAGGGGCCAGAAACCTAGAGAACGAGGAAGCAGCAGCAGCTCAGAGAAGAGTACAGAGCCCCAGAGAAACAGCAGGACAGACTCACCCAGAGAAAGGGGGCAGGGCAGGGATTCAGAGAGACAGAGAATGGAGACCCAGAGTGAAGCAAGGCAGAGACAGAGAGAAGGGATTATCAAGTCTTTCGATCCCCAGAATGGCCCGAACACAGCGATAGCTCTGTGTGGTGGAGACTCCGGTGTGAGCCCCCCAGGCTGCCCTTGGGTTCTGTGGGTCCAGTCTAGGGAGAACTGGTGTCTTACACCGTCACTTTGTTTCCAGTCTGAGCTGGAGCACTTTGCTGGGGCCCACAGTGCACCCCATTTTCTAGCCCATTATGGATACCCTCAGGACCTGACTGTTTTCCCGGCTCATACCTTGAACTCTCAGACTTGACATTTGATTCTGCTCGTCCTGCCTGACTTCTGGTTCCCACCTCTATTAAAATGATTTTTCTGCGGCTTCCATCGCTTCCCTTGCACGCTGCTCCTGTAATTACTGGCACTGCCACAGTGTTGCTGCAAACAGCAACAGCAGATGTCACTGAACCTCCTGTGTTTGATCTCATCGATAGTCCATGCTGCAGACTACCCCTGGAGACACTGCTTTAATCCCCGCCATGCCGGTAAGTCAGGAAGCACATAGGGAGCTGGGCCAGGATAGCAGGAGGAGCAGGGTCTATGCTCTGCTTTATACCTACTGCACCATTGGAAGCTACTATGTACTTTCTCTGGGCCTTAGTGTGTTTGTAGGTAAAAAGAATATATGGATGATACTTCTCACTGACTGGGGAGACCCTTGTCAATGTAGTTCTGTGTCAGGCCCAGGGACTTGCAAACCCTAGGTGCTATATAGATATTGGGAGAAGAGAAGTGAGTTTCCCTTTAATGGTAAGCATGCTCCCTTCCACTTTAGGTTTGTGTCAGGGATCAGTGTTCCTCCTCTGCTCCGATATAAAGTGAATTTGACAAGTTTTAAACGCCATTTAAAAAAATACAACTGTAAGTTTCTTTTTCCTAAAACATCAACTGTGGGTGCTGGGGGGATAGCTAAATGGGTCAAGTGCTCGCCTTACAAATATGAGGACCTAAGTTTGGAATCCAGAGTCCACATAAAAATGCTGGGCCTGGTAGTGAACGCTTGTAATCCCAGCACTGGGGAGGTGGAGAACATCAGATCGTGAACCCTGCTTGGCCGGCTGTCTAGCTTAATTTCTGAGTCCCAGACCAATGACAGACCTTGTCTTAAAGCGGGTGGATGGCATTCCTGAGGAGGACTGAGATTGTTCTCTGGCCTCCCTACACATATGCTCATACAAACGCGCCCAAGCACGCACAGGAACTCACACACCTGCATAGTCATTAAACCAGCGTCACCCGAGGCTGTGATTTCCACTGAGAAGGAGAAGGAGGGCTCCCTTTTGGGTGAAGGTATAGTAAAGGATTTTAGTTTTTGGGGGTGGTGGGCGTGATAGTAGAGGTGGTGTGTTCACATTCAGTCTGGGATCTGAGGGAGTGACCTTGGGAACTAACTGCGTGAACAGATTTGCTCTGACAAAGAAACCCCTGTATTGGCTAAATAATGTATAAGGAGTTTCTACCAGGCAGTGGGGGAAATTGAATTATTTAGTGTATTTCCATTTCAATGAGTTAATCAAGATAATTGCTATTTTCCTGGATCTTTGTCTTTTCTTTGCAATTAACAAGGCCTCTGTTTGGAGAAAGGAATTTAGCTCGTGAACTTTGTACATAGGGTTATGACATTTTTTTTAGTGTAAATTATATTTAAAAATCAATTATAACCCCCCGCCATTGGATCCACTATAGTGTTCTCACTATATTACAGGCTGCAAATGAGTCTCTCTCGGCCTCAGTTTTTGTAAAAGAGAAAATATTACCTGTCACCCCCACTGCTGTGAGGATTAGCTCAATGACTGGGTTTCTAGCACATAGCTGATGTTCAACAAGACTAAGTTCTTTGCTGGCTCCTGCGGCCTGTCTAAGGCTGACATCTTCAGCAGGCTCAGCTGTCATGAACATGACCAAGAAGAGAAACTTAAAAAAAAACTCATATCGAAAAAGAGATGTTACAAGACCCGTTCATTAAAACGGCACCTCCGTCTTCTATGTATGTGTGAGATGAGTGCTTTGCCTTGGACTGTAATGAACGGAACGGCTGCCTCTCTGGCCGCACTGCTTTGAGACGCCTCTCTTGTACGAAGAGCAGGAAGCAGTTACTTGAAGTGAGCACTCTGTTACCCCTGACCACAGAGAACACAACCACAGCCCTGCCCTGAGGAGGGAGGCAGCCACACCACAGCCACTAGACACACAAACAAGTAGTTCAAAATCATTGTGTTCATTTAGGGGAGAAGGGTTCTGTGCCCCCACTTCTGGAAGTTATTTATGTAGCACAGCAGGCTAGACAACTGCTTCCATTCCTTAATGAACTTGACTTATTTAAAAAAAAAGGCCAGGTGATGTTAATGTGTTTGAGAAGGGAGAATACAATGGATGCCATAAGTTCATCCAAAATTTGAAAAATGGAACTTCAGTTATGTAGAAAATTCATCTCTGTGTTCCTTCTATTATCACCTCTCTTTATATGAAGATATTAACCCTTTAAGTACTTTTGGTCTACGTCATGTTCCCATGGTAATGTGAGTGGGTGTCTACTGTATCCATTTTGCAGGTGTGGAAAGTGAGACCTAGAGAGATTAAGCCCACGGTAGAGCTGGGTTTGAAGCCCACATCTATGAGTCCAAAGCTTATAGCTTTTATACTATACCATTTCCCTTTTAGGATAAATCATTCAGAACATGAACATGCATAACCTACCACTGGTAATGGTTTTCAGCCCCAATCCTGAATTAAATGGGATACATGGAAAAATTACGCTCTGTCAATTCATTCATCTTCAGTCTCACAATGCATCTCATAACACACAACCATATCTTGATACTTACTCATAAAACGTTGTCCACCCATTTTCATTGCTTTTGGTTGCCAGGAGGCCAGAGTTGCCGTGGTATGTCATCATAGCCAGCTCGTGTCCTTGTGTGGTCACACTTCTGAGTGCACTGTTGGTGCCCATGGTTACCCAGTACACCTGGCCATCTGGGACGACCAGCCAGAGGGGCATCCCGGTAGAATCCCGGCGGACGTTCACCATGTTGCCATTGTTGTCCGTGATGTGTGTGATGTCGCCGTCCCCCGTGTAAGTAAAGTTGTACAGGTAGTCTCCTGTAGGCAGGCTCTGAGTGTACAGATGCTTGCCACTGGTGTCAAAGAGGTACAGCTCCTGGTCGATGGGGGAGGACAGCTCATACATGTTCTGGGTGTTGAGGAAAGGCTTGTTCTTACGGATGAACCGAATTCGGATGTTTCCAAGGTCGGCCACGTAAAGCTCCCCATCAGCACACACAGCCAAAGAAGATGGAGTATTCAGCTTTGCATCCTTGGCATAACCATCATCTCCAGAGAAACAATCACAGTTGGCATCGTTTTTACAGTCACAGCCACTGGGGGCACCAGCGACCAGGGAGATCTCACCACTTGTAGTGACCTGCCTGATGCGGTTAACCTTTTTCTCATCTGTCTCGGCGATATACAGGACTCCGTTGTGTGAAACAGCCAAAGCAGTGGCTGACTCCAGGGTTGCGTGGATGGCCACCTTGCTCAGCAGGAAGTGATCGATGCCAGGAACCTGGCAGTGCATAGGCCTCCCAGCGACAATGCGCACCTGGTGGTTTTCGGAGATTTGCAGGACCACATTGTTGTCGAGGACATAGAGGGAATTGTCCATTGGGTTGATGGCCAAGTCTGTGGGCCACTCCAGGCGAACCTGACAATGGAGACACCGACACTCAAATGCTGCCAAGATGCCCACTACTAGTCACCCCCAAACTCCCAATAACCCACTATTGTGTCCAAAGGGCCTTTATATACACTTTGGCCCAGCAGAAACTGAAGAAGGGGACCACAGTCTCAAAGAGCAGTAGTTGAGATGGAGACTTTGGAGTCAGACAGGCTTAGGTTCTGAACCTAGACCCATCACTTACAACTTTGGGCAGGTTACTTTGCTTTTCTGAGCTTCAAAAAAATTCATATTAGAAAACAGGGTGACAGCTGTACCTCCTGACACACAGTAAGTGCTCAAACTCAGACGATGGATACAGAAGTAGGAGCGAGAGGAAGATGGAGTCTGGAGGCTGACAGAGGAGCTGTTAGGGGGATTTAAAAAGATCTTCATGAAATGCTGACCTGACTCAGGCATGAAGATGATTAACACAAAGTTGGGTTTGGGGGATGTAAAGTTAGAAAAAACCCATGCCCCTGTCTGACACATGGTTCTATATTAGTGATTTTCGATTTTGGTTCCATATTCTCACTATCTAAGGTGATTGTAGAAAACATTCTGAGTAATCGGATAAGCCAAGGCCTTGGTGTGATTGGTCTGCTCCCTTGGGCTGTTTAAAAGTAACTTCCTGGGTGATTGTTTTTTGGGTTGGGGACCACACCTGGGTTCTTCTCTTAAAGGGGAATAATCAGACCTGCAGTGCTGGCCTCCCCTTGGAGCTGGTCAGAAACGCACAGTGGCAAGCTTGTCCCAAAGCTACTGAACCTGTACAGAGCCCTTGGGTGACTGAGTTCACACTGGAGCTTGGCAAACCTGATTTATGTGGGCATCTCTGGGTCTTCACAGAGCAGGTCCTTCTAGAAGCCATTAATGATTACTTGTGGTAGGACTTAGGCTCAGAGCCTGGAGCCTCATACTGAGTCTCTCTTGAGCCATGCTGGGAAAGTGGCTGGAATCATGGTGAAGATTCAAGTGGATCCTAGTGGGCTACAGCTCTCAGGGTCTGGGGTGAGCAAAGCTTGACTCTAAGGATTGTTGGACGGATCACACTAAGAAGGGCTGGCACTAAGAGAAGCCCTTGGCCAGTCATGTCCCCAAGAGGTTCAGGCACACTGCACACAGTCTGGAAATGCTGACCATGCTTCTTGCAGCTGGCTTTCCAGCTCTACCTGACGACCCACCACCTTGACGTTGCTGGGCTTCCTACAGACACTTGACATTGGGGTTTACTCAGACAATATGATTAATGTAATTAGAAAGTTTCTTTTCTAGGAATTTGCTCTTGCATGCTAGTGTCTATAGTGTTTTTCAATCACATCCATTTTAATAATGGCAACAAAACAACAAAAACTCCAAACCAAACAGAGCCAGCTCAGATGCCCAACAACCGAGAACTGGCTAAATAATTATAGCAATTTACTTTACTTGTAAATTAGAATGCTGAGAATAATCTTTTAACATGATGCTCTAGGCCAGTGGTTCTCAACCCTTCTAATGCCGTGACCCTGTAATACAGTTCCTCATGTTGTAGTGAACCCTAACCATAAAATTATTTTGTTGCTACTTCATAACTGTTATTTTGCTATTGTTATAAATTGTAATGTAAATATCTGACATGCAGGATGTTTGATATGTGACCCTAAAGGGGTCATAATCCACAGGTTGAAAACACTCTCCTAGGTGGATATGTAATGATGTGGGGGAGGTGTTTGCTCTGTGCTAAATAGAACAGAGCTTCAGGAGGAGAATGAGATCAGCTAGGGAAACACAGATGCTAGTTTATGGACAAGGAGGAGATAAAAAGCTTGAAGGAAACATACCAAAATGTTAACCATTCTGGGATCAAGGATGGTGTTAATATTCTTTTTTATTTTAATTATAAAAAAGTTGCTGCACTGAATATACGGTTGTTGGCAAATGAAAACAACAACAAAATAAAAACAAATAAGCAAACAACAACAACCCCCCCAAACGTTGCCCCTCTCTGTCCCCTTAGCTTAGAGCCCTGCCCAGGATGGGCTAACACAGCCGATGCTCAGCTCCTGTGTCCAAAAGCCTCTCGTTCCTCACCCAGCCCCAGCCCCTGTCTGTCTGAAGAGCAGGAGCTTCCAGCCCCTCCAGAGCTACTGCTGCCCACACTGCCCAGTGCTCTCTGGGGCATGGTCCTGCCAGCTTTCAGCTACATCAAGAACACAGTTTGCTGTAAAGTGACAGGAGAATTTTCAATTTCCTAAAACCCATTCCTTGTCAACACTGGCCGCTAAATATTTTATACCCTCTGGTCCTGGGGCACCTTGGGGACTTACTTGCAGAGACCTTTCTGCCTGTCATTATGATGAAAAGATGGCACACTGATGAGGGGGGATGGGTGGGAAGGAGCAGAGAGGGAGCCAGTGGAGAGACTGGGGTGGGGGTGGGGAGAAGGAATGAACAGCGAGCATGTTCGCATATTCTGCATGTTGCCTTATGTTACTGTGTGCCTGGGAAAGAAGGCCACCACTCTCAAGTGCTCTGGACTCTGACACAACACTGGCTTAATGTCTCTGCCCAGATTCCATGCACACACCTCTCTGGTTTCTCCTCTGGTTAATGATGCTGCTGCCACAGCTTCAACCCCCATCACGGAAATGTTGGGACTGGACTTTAGAACTTCCGTGGTCCTTGAGCTCCTATGTACAAGGGACCTGTTGTGGAGGGGGCTCCCTGTCCCAGTTGTCCTGAGCACTCTGTATCTCCAGTAAGATATTTTGACATTTGCTTTGCCGCAGAGTGATGAGTGTACACAAATACATTGTCACAGGAATAAGTGAATGAATGTCTACAAATGGTACACAGAGCAGGAGGGATGGGGGCAGGGTACCTCACATCCTGCTTGTTTTCCACAGTCACTAATGGGTCAGGTCATCTGACTCAAGTTTCTTAACTTAATCGCCCCCGCGCCCCCAAATTTCTTTCCCCATATGTAAATCAGAGCAATCAACTTTATCCAGGGGCGCTGTAGCAAATGAGACAATATACAAGGAAGTTCTTTGTAGAGTTTCAGGGAACTAATATTTACATCCTATTACCAGCTGGTGGCCCTGTACTAGGCAATTATGTTCATGATTTCATTAGAAAGATTCATTTCCCCATCCTTGATGAAACCCAGCGTAGGGCTCTGTTTATAAGGCATTTCCTTTCACTCAGCCTCAGTTTCCTTCACTCGGCCCTGGGGATTATGGCAACTCGACGAGAAAAGAGAAGTTGTACTCAGCTCTGACCTCATTTCTAGCAGAGTGCCTAGCACATAGCAAGTTCTCATTTTGGTTCCACAGTATGGAGGGGTGGCCCTACGTGGGGAGCTGAGAGCCAGCCTCCAGGCCTGCGACATCTGCTTGTCTACCGTATACCTCCTGCAGTGTCTTTTGGGGTTTGGTCCTTCTCGCTTCCCAAATTCCATGCTTACCTGCTTTACAGGCTTTGGTCATGGTTTCTGTGGGTGTTGTTAGTAGAGGGAGCTCTGAAAACAAATACCACCTCCCATATGTGTATGTAAAAATATATGCCTGGGTTAAGAGTTCATTGAAAAAGAAAATCAATTCTTACATTCAGACAAAGGCAGCAAGGACCAGGAGTAGAGAGTTTACTCCATGATTTCTCAGTATGTGGCTTTTGTGTTTTTCTCCCCCTCAACATGCCAGCTGCCTTCCAAAGCCTTTGGTGTGAGTGCCTGGCAGCGCCTGTATCTAAACCTAAACAACTTTCCAATGTGTGGATTGAAAACGTTCAGCTCCCTGTGCTGGCTGGTGGAGGGCCCATTTAGAGAAGCAAAAATACTTGTCTGCACATCCTTAGGTTTTGGCGGCTCCCTCCTGGGTAATTCTAGCTTGCTCACGGACTGGAGAGAGAAGCTCTCGAGCCAGCAAGGCGAAGCCTGCCAAACTGCAAAGGCGAGTGGCAGAGAGCAGATTTTACTCTGGAACGCATCATCACAGAAGCTGGCACAGGGGGACACCGCACCAGCATCGGGTTGGGGTGGGATGTGGGTGCCGGAGCTGCCAACCGTGTGGTCACAGGGCTTGGAGGAAGGAGCTCAGAGATATGTGTGTTACAGAGGAAGGCATGGCAAGAGGGGCTGGGAGAGAGCTCCTGTTGGCTTCTTTATGTTCTCTAGGCTCTGATAATGTTAGCAGGATGGATGCTCACCAACTGAACCCAAACCAAGCCCTGATCCAGGACCTGGCAGTAAAGGACCTGGTCGTTGCCAAGTCATCATAGGATATACTCAGGATATACTGGATAGCCAGTCACTGAGTCTCAGCTGGGTTCTTGTTGTCTACCTGCTGAGGCCCAAATTCCTTGGTATAGTGTGAGGTCCTTCTCTCACTGGCTCTAGACCACACTTCTTATCTCAACTCCCTTCAAAGTGCCCTCTGCTTTGGCATTCAGCCTTCCAATGTTCTTTGAGACAGGGTCTTATATATCTCAGGCTGGCTTTGAACTTACCATGTAGCTAAGAATGACCTCGAACTTTGGTTCTCCAGCATCCACTTCGCAGAAGTGGGATTACAGGAGTGTGCCACCATATCTAATTTATATGGAGTAGGGACTGAACTCAGGGTCTTATGAATGCTAAGCAAGCATTCTATCAACTGAGCTGCATCCCCAGACTTCCAATGTTCTTTGAGCACACAGGCCTAGTAACATCTTTGCATCTTTGCACATACTATCTCTTTTCTATTCTTTTTTTGCCATCCAGCAAACCCCTGGTCCAAACCTGGTACCCATGTCACCTCCTTACTGGAAGTGGATGCTAGGATGCTTTTTATTCATTACATCTGAAGTGATGAGCATTGTTGAACCCACATATTGTTTTATGTATTTCCAAGGCAATCTTGCCATGCTGATGTACTAGGGATCTACTGAGTGGTCCCACTAGAGTTCAATCAACTAGTCAACAAATATGGGCTGTACTGGTTGTATCCCAGGCACTCTGGTTAAGTAGAGGAGATGACAGGCAGAATTCCTGTCCCTGTGTAGCAACTTATGGTCTAGAAAATATCCAAGTGTCTGTACGTGCTGTCAAAGAGGAACTTCAGGGCTATGAATTTAAATCTGCACTGGTCGGCTGACCCTGGGAAGGTTTTGTCACTGTCCTCTGAGGCTCCAATCCAGCCACACACTTGTTACACTTAACAGTGAACTCTCAGGGCAGCTGGGTTGGGGTAGTTTCTTCCTTGTCTTTGAACTCTGGGTACTCAACACAGTGGGGCCCGTTCAAAGGCTTGAACAGTGCTAAGAGGAGTAGTCATCAGGCTGCCTGGGTAACAGAAGACAGGAAGAACACACAGGCACACAGGGTTCCAGCAGACAAAGTCTCCTCACCTGAGAAATATCCATGACAGAGTCACAGCTGAGGGGCCTGGCGGAGGTGAGGTCATTGGAGCCCAGCAAGGTGGAGATGATCCCATTTTGATCGACGCGTCTGATCATTGTGCCATCCACGAAGTAAATGAGCCCAAACTTGTCCACGGTAATTCCTGGGGTGGAGAAGGCCAAAAGGAATTCAGCATTGGGGTTGAGAAGGAGCCATATAGTAGAGAGCTTGGGAATTTGAAATCTACTCCGATCTAGCTCTCTGTCCCTCTGCCAGGGTCTTGGCCATGGAGGTAAGCACTGTAGCACTGAGCTACACCCAAATCCCTCTAGTTCCCATTAACAAATTATTACTCACTTTTGTTTACTTTTAAATTTTAAGAAAAAACCCAAAATTGTTATTATTTCTTTGAGACAGGATCTCATAGAGCCCAGGCTGGCCTTGAGTTCTGGATATAGAGAGGATGACCTTGAATTCTAGAACTCCCATCTCTACCTCCCGAGAGTGCTGGGTTACATGTGCGTACTGGCACACTCCGTCTTAAGCAGTGCGGGGGATTGAACCTGGGACTCTGTGCATGTCAGACAAGCACCCTATCCGCTGAGCTACGCCCAGCCCTTCCAGTCACCTCTTACAGATGAATAGGGGACAGGGAAGGTGCCAAGGCTTTGAGTGTCCCATGAGCTCGGGATTAAAATCCAGCGCCCCAGACCTCAGGTCCTGGCTTCTCACTTTGCTGTCATGAGAGACTTTTAATCTTTCACGTGGCTACCAACAGAAACAGCGTCTCTGGGGCACTTGGGGGGTAGGTCGGGGAGACATTTTCCAGCACCACGTACGTCACTGTGAATTATTTAAATGAACCTATTTCTGAAGTCCTACAAACACAACAATAATGGATCTCGTTCTTAGTCACAGTTTCTCTTTTCTTCCAAGACAATCATACTTGAAGTTCACCCACCCTTGTTATTTCAGTTTCAGTGATCATCATAAAAGGCCAGTCTAAAAAGAATCCCATGCGTTCATGTAGAGAATGGGTTTGTTGACTTTAGGGTCTGAGGAAGGTATACTGAAGACGGAGGTCCAGGCTATCATTCAGCCCCTCCCCCCACCCCCTTCACCTGCTGGACTTTTTCACCTGGTCACCCTTCTCCAGACCTCTGTGACCAAGCACTGGACCTCTTGGCATCTGTTTTCTCACTTGTTCAATCAAAGGGCTGTCTGCAGCCTGCATTTCTGCCTCAGCCCTGAGAACTTATAAGGAGCCCATGGCACCCCCAGGTGGCTGCTTGAGAAGCTCTCATGTGAAGCTTGCATTTCTAAGGGGCACCCTGGGTGATAGTACAGAACAGTCAGAAGGCCACTCAGGAGGTCGGTCCTTCAGGACAGGGACTCATTTCAGAGTCACCTGGAGAACTTTTGCTTGGCCTCATGTCTGGCAATACCACTCAGGAGACGGCAGGGACTGGGGCTGATGTATGTGCTCAAAATTTCTGGGCGGTATCTGCCACCGTGTACACAGTGAGGGGTGACAGGTTTTGAAACGGAGACACAATACTGAGTCAGAACCACATGGCATACCTTGGGAAATGACAGACCCAGGAGGGAAGTGGGAACCTAAAGGGTAACCTGGTCCCGTGATATGCTCTGGTTTCTTCTGGCCAGCCAATGGGAGGAGGTAGAGGAGGCATGGGCGGGGCATGCCTGAGCTATGGGGCTCCTGATTGGGTTACTTCACTACTGACCACTACTGACGCTTGGTCTCCTCCTCATTGCTGTAGGGGATGGCAGTTTGTGACTGGGAAGGCCAGGGAGAGACCTCAGTTGGTAAAGTGAGGACCTGAGTTCTAGTCTTGGAATCCACAAAAAAGAAGCGAGGCATGGGTCAGGCAGTGGTGGCGCACGCCTTTAATCCCAGCACTGGGGAGGCAGAGCCAGGATAATCTTTGTGAGTTTGAGGCCAGCCTGGTCTACACAGCGAGCTCCAGGACAGGCACCAAAACTACACAGAGAAACTCTGTCTCGAAAAACAAACAAACAAACAAACAAACAAACAAACAAAAAGAAGCTAGGCACAGGAGCACTCTTACAATCTTGACATTGGGCAGGTAGAGACAGGTAGATTTCTAGGACTCACTGAATTCTGGGTCCTGTTTAAAAAAAAAAAAGCAGAAAACCCAAAAAAACCCAGAAATGTAGAAAAATGTAGAATGACACCTCTGGTCTCTGGCCTCTGTACACATGATTGTGTACTCCTGACATGCACATGTTCACCTGCACAAACCACATAGACACACACACACACACATACACACACATACACCCATACACTCACACAAACACATAGACACACACACATACACTTACACACATCACAGACATAAACACACAGACACACACAGACACAGACACACACACACATACACATGAGTGGGGGGGGCACAGCTAACTTGGAATTCTTAGCTCCCAATACTCATTGACTGACCACTGTGAGACAGCCAGTGCTCTGTGGCTTCCAAGGCTTGGGTGGGTTCTCAAGTCCGTGTGTCTCTTTCAGGCCAGCAGGATGGGTTAAAGCCTCCAGGGATCTCTGAGTGATGGCCAGAACACTCATCCCATCCCTCTTTAAAGGGCTGGGAAGCTGGAAGAGGACTTCACACCCATGTGCAGGCAGCAGCTTCAGGGCTGGGAGCCTTTGCTGTGGTCCTGCCTAGAATGTCAATTAATTTCCTTCCTTAAGCAGCAGGACATGAGTCTGCCTGTCTGCCTGGCTATGCCCCGTCTCTCCCTTCCATCTGCCAGGACTGATGAGCGCTCCATGAACAATTGGGTTTCTTGTTTACAAAGTTGGCTGCGCAGGCTAATAGAAGTGATCTGTCCCCTGATTAATTACTTCATTTTTTCTCCTTTTGTTGTGCTAAATAGATGGACATCTTTTCTCCTCCCCACTGCAAAGTGACTGCAGATTGCAGCACCCTTGTCATTTCTATCTGGGTTAATTACAGGCTTTTGGGCAATGGTACTGCCACTCCATCTGTGTGGGTGAGGGAGGGGACCACAGGCGTTCCGAACAATGCAGAAATGCCAGGAGAGAAGAAAAATCTCTCAGCAAGGAACTGTTTTAATTGGAAGAGAGTAGGATGTTGCAGCTGACAGGGGCCTTGGGGATCATTTAGCCTAACCTGCTTATTTACAAATTGGGAAACTGAGGTTCGAAAGGGGAGAAGCCTCTGTTGGGAGCCTTCTAGTAGCAGAGAAAAATCTCAGTGCAAGCCTGTGCTTGCTCTCTACTGCTCACTCATTACCGAGGAGTCACAGCTGACAGGGAGTTTAACCATTGGTGACACAGTACTTCCCTTGTAGAGTTGTCACCTGACCATTCCATTAGTCAGGTAGACAACCTGCCATGATGCTATATGATGCTATACGATTATATAATACACTATAATGATAACAATGGGGATCTCCTCTGATGCTGTGTTTACTGTGTACCTCGTTGTCTGTATTAGACATTTCTATTCCTGACATTTAAGTTGGATTATGACTGTGCGGTATAGCCTTGTGGCACAGAGGAGGAAAATGAGGTTCAGAGAGGTTAAGCAACTTGCGTAACGTTACACAGTTACTGGGTGACAAAGCCTGAATTTGAACACACGATTTTTCTAGAGTCTACTGCTTTGATTTGAAACCAGACCTTGAAATCTGGTGCTCCTTAACAATAGAATCATTTCTAACAGTTTTACAGGAAGGCATGTGAAATATATCAACTTTGACCTCCAGAACAGTCTTAGGAGGTAGTTAGGAGGTAGGCACAGATGGGATTATTATCCTCATTTTTTTTTGTTTTTTTTTTGAGTAGGACCTGACGTTTAGAGGTTGGAAGTCCCTGGCTTATAGTGCTTGCTTGCAACATAGTAAATGCTCTACTGAAGGATGTCTGTTGGCAGTGAGGACTTCTCTTCTGTCAGGTCTCCTCAGTCTCCAGGAGTACAGGTCTCTCAGCTTAGAGCTCCATACATAGCTCTTCCTTCTTACTTCTCAGTGTCTCCTTGCTTCTGCAGAGTGATTCATTTATTCTGCTACAGTGAGCTTTGCTATGTATTACGAAGCTCTGTGCACTTGGTAAATGCTTGATGAATGCAAAATTAGAGACTCACTTCTTTGGGTCTACCTTATATGCAAGGAGGACAGAGGACAATGTCTTTGTGTAGCAATAACTGAGAGAAAGCCTGCACGGGATGGGGCATTGGTTTGTCAGAATCCTATACGGCTGTTAAAAATGAGTAGCTAGGAGACTGTGTATTGTCACAGAGAAGTCATGCTGTATCGTTTAGATAATAGCAGCTTACTAAAGAGTATGCTTGATGCGGTTTCATCTTGTTTGACTGCAGTGACTAACGTGCACAAACATTCAGAGAAAAAGACGAGCAAAGACAGGTATTGTTAACTTGAGTGGTTTCGGGCAGGTGGAATTATCACAGTTCCTCTGTATACGCTCTCTCTGTCTCATTGTCTCTGTCTCTGAGGTCTCTTGCTGATGATTGTCTATATCACACACACACACACACACACACACACATACATATATATACACACACATATATATAAAATTTCAATGTCAAACAAATGCTATTGTTTTAAATGCAAGGCCTTACCCCTGGGATTAGTGAGTGTGGCTTCTGTGGCTTTCCCACCATCTCCGCAGCGAGTATCATCAAAGGGGAGGCACTGGTCACCAGTCCCTGCCACCACCTCAGAGTTCTTGACCAGGTCCTTCACCACTGTGGTGGACTTGATCTTGAAGACCCGCCGGCTGTTGGTGTCAGACAGGAAGACGGCCCCGCTCATGGGATCTGTGGCCAGGTAGTATTTGTGTGCTGGGCTGTGACTGCAAGAGAGGCAGGGCTAGAGTGAGACTTTTCTTCTCTCCATCACATAACTAGAGATGCACAACATGACAATGGCCATATCACCCAGAACGTGCCCAATCTCATTGACCTCAGAAACCAAGAAGGGTTGGGCCTGCTCAGTACTCGGATGGGGACATGCAACATGAATCCCCAACCCATGTGACTTTAAGCACGATGGTCTTATGAGGATGCTATCTTTATTGTGGGTCACCTGAGAGATTGGCCTAATGATCCTCCCCCTTTCAATTACTAATGCAAAACCTCTTGCCTGGCCTGGGTACATGGCTCAGTCAGCAAAGTGCTTGCCTTGCAAGTACCAGGACTTGAATTCAATATCCAGAACCCATGTTAAAAACAAACAAATAACCAAACAACCAAATAACCAAATTCTGCTGTGGGAATATGTCCCTGTAATTGCAGTGTTCAGGAGGCAGAGATAGGAGAATCCTGGGGCTCACTGGCCAGCTAGACAACTAGCCAGATAGCTCCTTGGTGAGCTCTAGTCCATTGAGAAACTGACTCAAAAAAGAAAAAACTATATGGTGCAGAGGAGAGGTGCTGAGAAACACCACCCAAGGTTGTCCTTTGGTTTCTACATGCATGTACACATATCTGATGCCTACCTGCACACACATACCACACACACACACACACACACACACACACACACACACACACACACACATATATACCAAAAAAATCCCATCAGGCCTCTTGCTGATTATTGCCTATATCAAATGCTAAACACATACTTTCTTTTCTTTTTTTTTCTTTTATATATATTTGTGCTTTGCCTGCACAAATGTATGTAAACTGTGTGTGTGCAGTGCCCACAGGAGCCAGAAGAGGGCATCAGATCCCCTGGAACTAGAGTTACAGACTGCTGTGAGCTGCCATGTGGGAGCTGGAAACTGAACCCAGTTCTTCTGGAAGAACAGTAGGTGTTCTTAACTACTGAGCCATCTCTCCAGCCCAGCAAATGTTTCCTTAAAAAGATTATCAATGAAGTTTTTCACAGGAGACCTGCTAATTCAAGATAGGAGCATGGAGGAGGTGCTTGGCTTTAAATAACCCAAGGATTTAAAACAAGACTTTCTCTCTAAGATTTTTACAGCGACTTCCTATTTCATCTTGGGACTGACAGATAAAACACTGGCTAGTCCTGCCTCCTGCCAACGTCCACCCCACTTCCTATTGTTCCTCACGGTGAAGTTATCAGGAGCCTGGGTGTCTCCCTCCTGCAGTCAGGCATAAACGAGATGCAGGATCAGTTTCTAATCTGCAGCAAACTCCAGGAAAAAGAAACAGAGCAGAGGAGAGGTGCTGATAGAGGTCTGTTTCTGGAAGAAAGTCACAAAACCTGGGCTCTGGTGACAGGAAAGAAGCCAGACCATGCAGAAACGTGAAAGGGATGGGGCACTCTAGCCAGAGACTGGGGAAGTGCCCAGGGTATGAAACCAGATCATCTCTATTCCAAGGCAGGCTCTGCAACTTGGGTGTGTCCGGTGGCCCCTGGGCCTCCAGCTTCCTTCCGCTAGAAGATGGGAGTGTTAGCGCTTGCTTACACATTGGGAATATTCACATGGAACTGCATGTGTGTCAAACATGTAGTGTGATGCACGGCACACAGGAGGTGCCCAGCAGTCACGTCTGCTGTTGAGGGATGCTATTGGTGTTTGCCTTTGGAGATGACTTTTAGGTAGACTCTCCCATCAAGCCCAGATTCTACTACTCAGTGGTACTGATTACAGCTTCTTCCATGTCTAGAGCACATGGTTTCTGGGCTCACCACTGGGAGCACACTGGGATGTGTCGACTTTCAGCTCCTTTGTGTGGTCTGATCATTCTCTGGTCCCTCAAACTTCATCTCAATATTATACATTTATAAAGCATAGAATTTAATCCAGGTCCTTTGGAAAAACTTTTTATTTTACAAACTGGTGATTATCCTACATGAAGCTTGGGCCACATGTGTGCAAGTGTGTGTGTGTGTGTGTGTGTGTGTGTGTGTGTGTATGTGTGTGTGTGTTTTGGGCCATGGGGTTTTAGTTTGATGCTGACTTCTCATGATTAGAATATCCCTTGCTTTGGGTAGCGTCCTCTGGGCCAGAGCAAGGTGTCCAGACCTGAGGCTCTCATCATTTTTTCCTTTGAGTTCCACTAATACGACATTCTGTTCTCTGGTGGCACTTTCTCTCCAGCCCCATACTGCTATCCCATTGTCTCCTCGTGAATGAGGGCAGGATCCTCTTTCTGCCCGTGTCTTTTTCAGACCTTTTCTCTGATTTTACCCAAACCCCACCAGGTCGTTACCATGTTTTATCTTCCAAGACTCTCCCATCTTTCAGAAGGAGCACAGATCTTCCAAGCCAGATACACCTCGGGCCTTTCCTCACAGAAATCCCATACTGGTAATGCCCATACCAGGCCCCTCAATGCATTTGGCCCTGTCTGCATCCACTCCTCTGCCCTGGTCCTCCTCTTTGCCACTCACTCCCCAGGCGCCCACTCAGGGACTTTTTCTGGCAAACTTCCCTGGCCATTTCTTCTCTGTGCCCTAGGGTTCATACTAGCTCACATGAAACACAAGGCCTGGCTATTTACATGTCTTTCATGCCACCTACCAGTCCATAAAGGGGGAAACTGCCAGATTTTTATTCACTTCTACATCTCCAGTGCTCAACCTGCAGCCTCCCAGCCCTTCTGAGTCCCTTGTTTTAGGTAGGTGACATGTGCGTTTCCAGCTTATTTAGGTGGTATTTGCATTGAAATCACTTAGCTTTTCTTTTACTTCTCATGGGGTTGGTGATAATAGCACAGACATCCTGTTTATCTTGAGATGTTCCCTGGGACTTAGAAGGAGGCACAGAATTAATCTTCCTAGACAACCCTGATCCTGTCTTAATAAAACACAGTGACCTTAGATCCTGCTCTGTCATGCCGGAGCATCCTGGGCTCCCAGCTTCCCCATGACAGCCAGGAGGCAGGGGGACTATTTCCTTTCTGTGTGCATCACTCATGATAAACTGGTGATATCTACCTTGGCAGAAAGAGGCCCCTGAGGGAGGATGGTGGAGGCCCTGTCCACTCAGATTAGCCCCTTGAGTTTCCAGCTCACATCGCCCTGTACTGCCCTGGAGAAGTGTCACTTGTGTGAAGCTTCTCAAATGAGTGAATTCCAGGAGAGGGTGGGCTTGGCAGGATTGTTCCAGATCCTATAAATGTTATGGCTGCATCTTGTATGCTTATCTGGTGGTCAGCATCGAAGGAAAATGCTTGCTCTGATTGGAGAAGGTGAAGGTTTAACTAGGATGAGTCAATAAAATAGTTGTATATTCTTCAGGTGGCCAATGGTCAGGTCAGGTCTCTGCTCTGCCCACACACAGGCATTTAGAGACATATATACATACATATATACAAACACACATACACACAGACAGAAAGACAGACAGACAGGCGCGCGCGCGCGTGCGCGTGCGCGCGCGCACACACACACACACACACACACACACACACACACACACACACACACACGATGGTTGCTTGTTTTGAGACAGGGGCTGAACATCAAACTCACCACAGAGCTGAGTTTATTCCTGATCTTGGGATTGTCCTGCCTCTGCCTCTAAAGTGCTGGCCTTACAGGTGTGTATCACCAAGCTTGGCTTCGTTTGGTGCTGGGGATAAAACCCAGGGCTTTGTGCAAGTACTCTGCCAACTGAACTACATCCCCAGCTCTACATCTCTTGCTCATGCCAGCCAGCATTGGCAGCTGCATTGTGTCTGTGGTTCCCACTGGTCCTTCCCCCAGGCTGCAGCCCCAGCAGTCTAAGGAACAGAACTGGGGAGCTGATCACGTGGACTGGGATGTGTCTGACACTGAAGAATGTGGATTCTGCCCTGGCCTCTGTGCCTGCACTTGACACACATGGCCTCATTGCCCCCATAACTATCATATTGTGTAGGGACCGTCTTCTTACATTTCAGAGAACTGAGGCGGACAGAGATGAAGTACAGACCACAAGCTGAGGAGTGAATTTCAATCTACATCCGCTCAGCTCCACGGTCTATTCTTTCTAGTTCCCCATGTGACTCGTGACATGCCACAAGCATGTCAGCACTGCATCCCAAAGGCCTGAGGATCTGCTGCAAGCCATACAATCCTTGAAAGCATATGATGGAAGAAAGCGCCGGGCCCCCTTCGACTCGCGCATCTCAGGAGATTCAGCTGATCACTCCCTACTATTCCTGGGCTCCCACTTTTCTGTCCTAGCACACGACGCCCTCGTGTTTCCACTAGAGCTAGGGCAGACCTGGCTTCTCAGGTCTGTAGCACTTTCTCTGGTTCTTCTCTGCTGAGTCGTCTGTCTCAGTAAAACCTTGAACTTGGGACTGGAGAAATGGTTCAGCAGTTAAGGACACGAGCTGATCTTCCAGAGGACCTGAGTTCAGTTCCCAGCGCCCACATGGTGGCTCACAATCATCTGTAATTCCACTATTGGATTTAGTGCTCTCTCTGGCCTCCAAGGGTACTGCATGCATTCGATATATAGACATATACAGGCAAAAAACCCATACATATAAACCACCAGCACCAGCAGCAGCACCAGCAGCACCAGCAGCACCAGCAGCACCAGCACCAGCACCAGCACCACCTTCTTGAACTCTTCTAGATTCCCACTGCACAGACTCAGAGGAATTGTGCTGAATTTATGTGTGAATGAATGAATGAATGAATGATGAATGAATTTAACCTCATTGTTGGAGTATTCACTGGAAACACTCATTGCTAGTGATCTTAGATTGGTGATTCTATACATCAGAATCACCTGGAAATTAGAAGAAGTAGCCTGAACAAAAGTGACTGAAGGGCTGGACTCTGCCTATAGGGTTTCTTCAAGTGAATCCTAGGCACAGCCAGCTTTGGGAATCATGCACAGCTTCTCAAACTTCAGTGTGCTCAGGAAACACTTGAAGACGTTACTAAAGGCAGATCTCAGTTCCATCATGCAGAGCTTGGCATTTCTGACAGTTGCTGAACAGTTTGACATCTGCTTCAAACCACACCAGCCTTGAAGGCATGTGATGGAAGGCGGCATGTAGTGGAGGCCCCAGGCCCAGGTCCATGGACAGGGAGCATTTTCAGGCTCCACAGACTGTGTCTAATCCAATTCTGATATCCAGGACCCTGAGAAGAGCCAGGCTCAGAGATGGATCCCAGCCCTATTCCATAGCTTGCTACAGGGAACTTCAAGGTCTCTTGCTGTTTTCTAGCTCTGGGAGTGTAACCTTGGCTATGGTAACCTTCCTGAAGTCAGTGTATTGAAGTCAATTCTCCTTCTACCCTCTTTGGTACTCTGAGTCTCTGTATCTGAGAAATGGGGGCAGTCACATCCACTTCAAAGGGTTACTGGAAGGATAAAAACCACATGAAGAATATAAGCCTCTGCACACAGTGTCTGTTCTAATAAAAACTGAGATGGTTAATAAATGGTGCCTTTTTTTTTTGAGGCAGGGTCATCTATTCCAGGTGACCTAGAACCTGCTGTGTAGCCAAGGATGATTGTAAACTTTCGGTCCTCCTCCTTCTATCTCCCAAGTGCGGGGATTAGAGGCCTGGGTCACTATGCTCAGTTTCTGTGGTGCTGGGGATTGAACCCAGGGCTTTAAGAATACTAACCAAGCACTCTACTAAGTTATGCCCCTAGCCCCTCATGGTAGCTTTTAAGCAAATCTGGTGACCCTGAGAAATCTTTAGAACATTTATGTTGGTGCATAATAGAAAAGCTATGTATTCTTGGCATAATGTTATCCTGTTAATCTATTTTCCATGAGAGTTAGGGGCTCCTTTGAGTTAGTACAGTATGTGTAGCTTGGTTTGAGGGAGATTATATTCATGCGTACTTCTAAAAAGCAGGCTTCCAACAGTAGTCTTTGACCCCAGGGAAGAAATCATGGAAGACATAGGATGTATATTTCCTGAACAGCTGCACAGCAGCAGATGCTGAAGAGACTACAACTACTGGGAATGCCCAGGGTAGCAGGTGGCATGAGGCCAAAAGAGTCAAAGACCGAGAAAAGTCCATGCTGGGGGTGTACATACACAGGCCAAGGTTCCCATGGAATCAAATGCTGTTATTGGAAGAAATTGAAACAGTGGACAGACGAAGAAGGTAAACTCCTGTTACTTCCTTAATCTGTTCAATATTCAGTAGAGGGGATGCTGAGGCTCAGAGAGAGAAAAAGGGATTTGCTAATATCCAGGTACCATTGAAAAAAATCACAGCTGGGACCCAGGGTTCTTGCCTCCTAATTATCTTAGGAAAGTGGCTGGCCATGGGTGAGTCTCCTTTCCACTGTGGTTCACTTTATAGACAGAATTTTCTCACCTGAGAAAACAATGGATTGAAAGAAGACAGGGGCCTGGTTTTGACCCCATACTATGGCTGTAATCAAAAGATCACTGAAGAGGCTGGAGAGGTGGCTCAGCAGTTAAGAGCACTGGCTGCTTTTCTAGAAGACCCAGGTTCAATTCCCAGCACCCACATGGCAGCTCACAACTATCTGTAACTCCAGGATCCAACACCCTCACACAGACATACATACAGACAAAATACACATACATGCACATTAAAAAACAATCACTGAATGTCAGAAGTATGCACACCCACACATATCCATACCCCTACACAGAGACAATCATGATTTCTTCAACTGATAGGTAATGTGAATGGTCCCATGGCATAAGGCTTCCCAGCTGTGTCTGCCTGCATCACAGTCATGTCCCAGGGAGATGTCACCATGGACTAAGTGATTCAATGTTAAATTCCAGGGTTTAATTTAAGATACACATGAAGACAGATCATTGAACAGTCTAGTATCATCCATATGAAGCTCATTGAACACAGGCTTCAGTGTGAACCAAGACTATTTCTGCACTGGGAAGTGCACATTTCCCACTGGGGACAGTGCAAACCAGGAAATCAGTTATGTTTCCATTACTACTCTGGCTGCCATGGCTTAGAGTTCAAGGTCTGGCCACTGATGTTCTTCTTTGTTTTTACTTTTGGTCTCAATTTCAGCTGGATTTATCTTCTTATATGTGTCTTTGGTCGTAAGAGGACTAATTTCCTTTTTGGGGAAAGATGGAGGCCTCTTATCATCATGATTATCATAATTACGGTAAATTGTAATATGCTAATTACAAAACCAGTGTATAGAGACTGTAACAGTTATTAAAACCACTATCAACGTTTTTCCATAGTAATTTCTGAAACTTCTCTCTGTGCCTGAAACTGCTGAATACTTTTCAGAGATCCTTTTTTGTTCTTGACAATAACTTTTAATAAATGTAAGATAAAAATAATGAGAGCTGAAGCAATTACTCCGGGGTCATATCACTGGGAAATGTCATTAGTCTTGTCTGTAAACTGGCTATAGTCACAGATGTCTACCTCACAGGTGGTTCAGACATAGGGTGGTATTCATGTGAATTGTCTAACTCTCTGCTTGTGCAGTCAATACTCGACACATATGAATTATTACTTAGAGTAATATATGCACCTACACACGCTCCTCCTCACATATATTGACATAGACGCAGAGTTAATAATGACTGGTAGTTCAGGCTTTGTCTGTCCCGTCACTCTCCCAAACAGCCTGCTTTTACCCCAACCCAGGACCATCCCACGCACCATTTTGATCTGAGTCTCACGTGGACAGCTGAGAGTCTTCCCTGTAACTGTGCAAAACATAGCTCTGCTGCCCGTGTCAGTTTTCAAATCTACACACCGACAGTTTGTGTGGGGACTGTTCTCTTCCTGAAGTCACTGTGATGTCCTGTCTGGAGGAGTCCCTGGAGGGGGTCCCTGGCATCCCATGTGCTCTGACTTTGGGGTCTGGAACTTGTCTGTTTTCATATTCTTTACCTCCATAAGATGGCCTCAGCACTTCCTTCCCATCATGGTCATTTCACTCAAAGGTCTAGAGGATGTGCTATTCTAAGGATTAATCAGGCTGTGGGTCTCACGTTCTTCCCGTTACTCTAGTCTGTCACATCTATAGACTACAGGATGAGTGCCTTACTTTGCCACGGGTAGAAGGGGTTCAGACCTTTGCCACCTACCCCACCACTATTAGTGGGGTGTTCTAGATGCAACCAATTATCCCCTATCAGCTTCTAACCACACAGGGTTCCTTTGCCACTGAGCCATGTGAAACTGACAAGTGTGGCTTACCATACAGCATGCAACAAGGCAGGGGAGAGGCAGGAAATTCTCCACTGGTTGGCTTACCTATGTCTGAAATCTTTATTTCTGACAGAAGACAGGAGAGCAGGGAATAGAAGAAAGAACGAGGTGTTAGCAGCAGGGTTAGATGCATTATTAGCAGCTGAAAACTTGACAGCAACGGTACTGTACAACACTGTAATAAATAAAGACCTAGCAGCCATGACACGGATCCATTTTATATTGGATACCCCTTGTCAGTGAGTTCACTTACAAACAGCTACCCATGACGGAAGCGGCCCGGCTCCACCTGCACCATACTGCTGACTTTGGGAAGAGGAAAGGCCTGATACAGTGTGCTGCTTTAGCAGGGCCTCGGAAGAGATTGGGGCAGTTGATTCTCTTCCCTGGACAGACATGCACCCAGAGATACACAGGCTTGCTACTCCTGGTCTCTGTAGGCCTGCTTTCCTACGAAAGTTTTCAGAACATGGGGAGCCTACAAAGAGCCTACTCAAAATATGGCATGGGATTGGAGAAGGAGTATGATTAGGAAGGGTGTGACACAGAGAAAAAGGCCCAGCAGGAAAAGACTGGAGGAGGATGCTAAGATGACAATATACTGAGTTTCCTTTCCTAATTTTATTTATTCTTCTTGACCCTGTTGAAGACTTGCTTGATCTTCAACAGTGGTAGAAGGGAGGGAGGAAAATAGGATATCTTATTTGGAGGATATGAAATGGGAGGCCTCCGTTTCCATGTGAGCTGTAGAATGATATTCATTCAGTAGGGAATAACTTTATGGGATGGAACAAATCTCATTTTTCTGGTGTCTACTCTTTGGCAGGGCAGAGCTGTGTAATGGTCTTCTAGGTTTGGGTTTACCATTCTAGATGTTTGACTCTGGGCACATCCTTTCAATTCCCTGAGCTTGCTTTCCCTTATTTGCCGAAGGTTGATAATGTTACTACTTAACAGAAGTGTCACACTGGCGGACAGTAGGAACGGAACTGTCCTTCTACACCCTTGGGAGGACGCCCTTCGCTCTCAAGTCATGCCTTGCTCATGTGCTTCCAAACCAGGATACAGGTGGGTTTTTGCTCCAAGATAGCTGTAAAAAAATCTTCCTGAAATTGAGGGTGGGGCTCCCCCGTCTCTTAAGTGTGGCTTCTCTCTAACCGCAGAGCTCACCCTGTAGGAGGGTTTTGGTTCTATAGAGAGACCTGGCTTATGGATGTCATAGGATATTAGATCACAATGTGAACCCTGAGTTTGCATTTGCATTATTAAATAAAAAAATTAACCTTGATTCAGGGACAGAGCCAGCAACTAGTTGACCGGAGTTAGCCATACAGAGTCTGGAGGAACCAGGAGTATGGATAGAGAGACACATATCGGAAAGAGTAGGGTGGGGACTTGGAGTTTTGGCTTCTTTTTGGTTTGCGATGAGTGGAGAGACTTGTCTCTTGCTGGGTCTCTGGCCAAAAAGGAAGGTCAGCTGGTTGCTTCTTGTCCTCTCTGATCTAGCAGGTTTTCACCCCCCATATCTGACTTCTAAGTCTTTGTTGGCAAATGGAACAATAGAGACTTAGTTCAACCCTATGTATCTCTGCCACTGCCAAGCTGGGGCCATGGCCTGAGTGGCTGGTAGGGTGCCGACTGCAGGGGGCAGTGGGGCCATAGATGATAATTAAAATATCAGGAGATTCATGTGCAGCCGCTAAGCCGACAGAAAGACATCATAGGGCCATGGGAGAAATGCACAGTCAAGCTGTTCTCCAGCTGGATGGAGGGATGCAGTGTTCTATCACTCATGGTCAGGACTGAGAGTCTCTCCCTGGGGGGCTCTACTGCACCTAAAGAGCAGAGAGGCACAGCCTGTGTCAGCCTCAGGCCTCACTTCACCTCAACCCTGGCCAGACAGAGGTAACTGCTTCTGAGGAACATTAAGGAACAGGGCCAAATGTGACATTTGCTTGCCATGCATCCTTCGTTCTTACAAGAAGACTCTTATAACCAGTTCTATCAGTTAAGTGCAGAAAGAAGGTACAGTGGCTCCAGGGGGACCAATTTTCAGCTGTCAGCAGTCTTCCACATCATCTGGATGTGAAGGACAACTCCCTGCCCTGTGTCTTCATCTCAAAGCACGGGGGAGGCAGCATAGTCTGGCAGGTGTGACTCTGTCCTGTCCTACTTCTCTGGTCCCCATGGGTAAGGCCTCTTGATGTTGGGCCTCTTGATGGCAAGGGACATTGCCAGGAATCATGGGGAAGGCACCCCCTTACATACCTCATCTCCAGGATGTTGGTAACATTTCCAGAGGGGAAGATCCTGCGGATGTAATTGAAGTCTCCCACATAGAGACTCCCATCAGAGCCACAGGTGAGGGCCACGGGGGCCAGGAGCTTGTTGCCATCAGCAAGACCATTGCAGCTGGGGCAGGAGATGCTCCGCCTGCGCCCATTGCCCATGATGCTGCCGATGACTGGTGGCTGCTGAGAAACGAACTGGTTCTCTCCATTCCCTTTGTGCAGGATGCCTGGGACAAGGAGAGGACATTAGCATCATTGGGAGAATGGAGGCTGGGTCCCTCTTCCTTTCCTTGGTCAATGTCATCGTGATTTTGCAAAGTATATGAGGCCTTGGCCAAATCCTTCCAGGTTTGTCTTATCATAGTGAGACCCAAGGGTACCTGAAAGACTTTACCATTTACCGACTGAATTCTCACCCTAGGCCTATGCGGCTGCACTATTACTGCTGTGACAGACAAAATAAACCAGTAATTTAGGCAAGGCCCACAGACAAGAAGTGGGCAGGCCCAGGATCTCTCTCTCCCTCTGTGTGTGTGTGCATGGGTACGTGTGTATATGTGTGCACGGGTACATGTGTATATGTGTGCACGGGTATGTGTGTACATGTGTGCAGGTGTATGTAGGTGCTCTTGGAGGCCACAGGACAACTTGTGCCACCCCTCCTCAGGTGCTACCCTCCTGGTAATTTTGGTGCAGGGCCTCTCATGTCCCGGAACTTGCTAAGTAGGCTAGGCAGGTCAGTGATCCCCATCTCTTCCTCTCTAGCATTTGCATGGCAAGCATATTCTATCATGTCTGACATTTTAAAAGATACACTTTATGTGTATGAGTGTTTTGCCTACACATATGTATGTGTACCACATATGTGCCTGGTACCTGCAGAAGCCAGAAGAGGGCATTGGATTGCGTGGAACTGAAGTTACAGATGGCTGTGAGCCATCATGTGGGTGCCGGGAATTGAACCCAGGTCCTCTACAAGAGCATGCTCTCCGAATGGCTGAGCCATCTTTCCAGTTCCCAGCCTTCTTCTAACATCTTTTACTTGGGTTCTGGGGATAGAACTCAGATCCTTGTGCTTGCAAGACCAACATTGTATTGACTGTATCTTCAGTCCCAGGGTGCAGCTCTTGACCATTTAGGCCACGCATCTCTTCTAAGCTCTGTCTGAATCTGTGTACTGCAGCTTCTTAGGCACACATGCTTGCTTTTCTCTCTTTCTACATATCCCATTTCAAGTGTAGAGATTATGTCTTTTTCATTTCTGTATCCCCAGTGTCTAGCATAGAACTGGCCACAGAGTAGATACCAATTAATGTTTATAGAAATAACAGAGAGAAACCCAGTCACTGCTCACCAACATGGACCTAGGTTGTTGCCTGGCTGTACAGTTGACAGGCTGACCCTACATCTTGTAGAGATCACCAGTGTCTTCACTACTCATCCTGCCCTGAGCCTCAGTTTCCCATCAACCAAATGAAGGGACTGACCTCAATGCCTTGTTTTTCTTCTCATGAATCTCCACTGTTTCTTCATTCTTAGCCATGCTTTTTCATCTGAATATTGCCATAGCCTGCAGGTTGGACCCTGCCTCATGCCACACCTATTTCCATGATGCCTGAGTGGGGCCGGGACCCCAAAGGTCACAAGAACCTCTAACAGTGGATTTAAATTTTATATAGTCTAATCAGTTGGTTTTCCAGGTCCAAGTTTGTGCCTTTTTAGGTTTTTAGGAAATCCTTTCTTAAGATTTAAAAGTGGCTTATATTTTCTTCTATTAATTTTAAAGTGTTTTCACATTTGGATGTTTAAAAATATTTAAATTTATTTTGTATAGAATGTGGAGTGGGAGGGTAGCATAATTTTTCTATATACGCTGAAGCATCTTCTTCAGTATTAATTCTGAAGCCTGCTATCCAATGATATGTGACACTTTCTCTACAGAATATGAAGTTTCTATTTGTACACACGGTATAATGGCAGACCTGCCCAATTAGCCACTGATGGCCCATTGTGGTGGTTTGAATAGGTTTGGTCTCCATAAACTCATGAGTTTGAATGCTTGGCCTATAGGGAGTAGCACTATTAAGAGGTATGGCCTCGTTGGAGGAAGTATGCCACTGTGTGTTTGGGGGGGTTGAAGTCTCGTATGCTCAAGCTCTGCCCAGTGTGGCACACAATCTCCTTCTGCTGCTGCCTGTGGATCAAGATGTAGAACTCTCAACTCTTTTTCCAACACCATGTCTGCCTGCATGCCACCATGTTTCTTGCCATGATGACAACAGACTAAACTTCTGAACCTGTAAGCCACCCCAATTAAATGTTTTCCTTTGTAAGAGTTGCCATGATCATGATGTCTCTTCACAGCAATAAAACCCTAACTAAGACACTCATCCATCCTTTCTTTCTTCCATTGCTAATGTAACTCCTGACATCTAACTGGGCATATGTGTCCCTGGAACAATTATGACCCCAGCCCTGAGGCAGCCTCATCTGTGACTGAGTCTTGGCCAGTGGCACGTAAGTGTCTATGCTGTTGGCATCTGCTGGGCAGCATCCTCAGAATGAAAGGGCCTGGCTCATGGTCCTTTTTCTCCTTGCTGATGGAAGTGTGGATGTGCAGGCTTGAGCTCCAGTAGTCACTTTGGACTGTGACCTTGGGGGTAAATAAATGCCAGTGTAAACAAGAACAGAGGAGTCTGGGCTTCTGAGCCTGCGGTACAGGATAATCTGCCTCTAGGGGTTTGCAGGTGAGTGAGTGAGAAACCAAGTTGAGCTTGATTGAAGTTCTGTTACTTTGGAATTTTGGATACTGAGAACCAAACCTAGGGTTTTTTTTTTTTGTTGTTGTTGTTCCATTTTCATACACATACAATGTACTTTAATCCCATTCAGCTTCTCCATTGCCTTCTCTTTTTCCTGCTAGCCTTGATCTTCACTTTGTTCCTAGACAGATACCTTTTTACTTCTACATATTTTAAGAGAAAAAACTTGATTCTTCACATGAGAATAGCAAGGTGTTTGAATCTAGCTTATTTTACTTAACGCTCTTACCTCCACTCCTGTCCACTTCCCTTCAAATAATGTCATTTTGTTCTTTGTTATGGCAGGTAAGACTCCATTATATAAAACACGTTTTCTTTATCTATTAATTTTTTGATGGACTACTAGGCTGGTTCCATAATTTGACTATTGTGAACAGTGTAGCAGTAAACGTGATGCTTAGGTATCTCTGTGGTATGGTGAATTACATTCTTTGGAGTATCTATTCATTTGGTTGTTCTGTTTTTAGTTCTTTGAGAACCTTCCATACTTATTTCCATAGTGGTAACAATGACTTACATTTCTGTCAGCAGTGTATAAGGGTTTCCTTTCCTGTATTCTCGCTACTATTGTTACTTTCTTTTCTTCATTTTAGGTTTTTTTAAATACAAGTGTGTACTGTATGTTGAGTATATTCCCCTCATACTACGCTCCCCCCCCCATGATCTTCTTGATGTTGGCCACTCTGACTGGGGCGAGATGGACTTTCATGTCTTGATGACCAAAGATATTAAACAATTCTTTCTCATATTTTCTGGCCATTTGTGCTTCTCCTCTGAAACCATCCTGTTCATCACTGGTTCGAGCTGCTGATCCCGGGTCAGTTCTGAACTCCCAGCTCTGCCCTATGGCTCTATTTACCCGTTTCTCCACCAGCACACAACACAGCTCCAGGATTTTCATTTTCTAACTTCATTCTGTGTGGAGTCCCTTTCCTTTGCTCTTACTTTAAAGACTCACAGGGATGGAAAGTCCTTCATTATACATTTTGATTTCGTTTTTTCCACTTCTCTACCTTAAACCTGGCGTGGGATTGACAAGCATTCCTTCCACTTTTAGACTAGGCAGGAGATGAGCAACATCGTTACTATGGCTCCTGTCCCAAAGCAGAGGAGCATGGCGAGACTGAGTTTCCTGAAGTACATATGATTGACATCTACTGTAGATCAAGCCTGAAGTCCTAAGTACCCTGGGTTCCAGCTGATTATGCCTGAGCTTTGGAAGTTCTTCCTTTGATCTCACTCTCAGCTCCAATTACAATGGAGTTTTCTTCAAGTCCTCTGCTTCGGAACTCATGCTCTGCCCTAGAGGATCTACTTGATATCCCAGGCTAACTAATCCTAGATCTTCTGGGATGCTGTTCAGGGCTCCTCTCTCCATTGCTGCTTTGATGACAATGAATGAAGTGCTTCTCCCAAGCCTCTCTTGGGGCCCATGCTATTCACTGCATACATTTTTTTTTGAGGATACGTGGGATAGCAGAGAAGGCGGCACCTTAGCCTAGCTCAAGGACGTCCATGGTTCCACTCACCACTCTGGATGTTCAAGGCATGGTGCTTATCCAGGCTCCAGCCCCCCAGCTTGGAGGCATCGATTTCATAGCCCTGCAACACTGCTGTCCTTTTCTCCCACAGGATCAGATCTGGGCAGGATTCGTATTCATAACCCACGGAAACTATAGGGACACAAGAGCAAAGCACACAGGTGAACAAAGCCTCTGACCTGACCCTTAGCCCGATAGGCAAGCCTCTGATGATCTTGTATAGAAAACAAAAAGATCATGCTTTTACTTGGGCACTAGAACCATGTGAAATACTAGCACAGTGATGCTGGGCCTTAAAAACTGTTTAAAAAAAAAAAACAACAACACCTGCATATTATTAGGAAAAGTTAAATGTGCCACACGCCTTCAAAGGACCCAAGTGAATTGATTCTGTTGAAATAATCCTTTAAGATTCTGTTGAAATAATCCTTTAAAATGTTTTGTATATGTTGTGGTGCTATTCATATGTGTGTGAGAGCATGTATATGTGGGTGTGTGTGGAGACCACTTGGCTTTGACATGCATTTTGAGGATCCAAAATCTAGTTATTACACTTGCATTGCAAGTGTTTTTCCTGTTGGTACCATCTCCCCAGCCCGGAAATAATCTTTAATAAGGAAAGTACCCCCATTAGCTCACCACTGTAACCTCATTTGTGGCAGTAGGTAATTGGAGGTGACACAATGTTTAATCAGGTGAGAATTTAATCATGTCCAATCCAGGTATATTACTCAGCCCCTGGACATCATAGTCATGAAGACCAGCTGATGTCATAGAAATGCTTAAAGAAAAGCACTCAGTTGAGAAGGCTGATTGTTTTTCGTCATCTGTGATTTTAAAATTTCCTAATTCCCTAAGCTTGGCTTCTGTGGAGGCCTAGGCAGTGGCCTTGGGAAAACATCAGCTGAGACAGGCAGGCCATCTCTTCTGAGTAGCTCCTCTGAGAGGGCACTGCTTACCAGCAGACAACATCTGACCATGTGGAAGAGACAAGAATGAATAGCTGGTCAGCCTCTGAAGGTTGTTCACAGATGCCTGGAAAGATGGCTACCTATCTACAGCAAAAGGAGAGTGGGCTCGAAGATGTCGCCACGTCTCTGGCCCCGATGATCTCAGCAAATGAACCCCGGGACTGGAATCTCATGGCAATGGACCCTTTGAAACTGCCTAGTGGGAACTAAACATACTCATTTCACTGGAGGAGGATTTAGGGCCTTGGCTTTATTTTTAGAGATGATAGAAGGGACTGTGATTGGTGAGATATGGCCTTTCTGCTTCCAGAGAGCCCCTGCATCACAGGGTAGAGATGCAAATCCCAATGAAGGGCTGGATGAATCTAACTTTCTTCCATCTATCTGTGCTTCCTTGGGATGTCACCTTAGCATCCTCAAAAGGATGTGGCTGTGAGGATTCATTGTGATGCTAACATGTTTGCCAGCACAACCATGGAGCAAGCGTTCAAGAGAGCCTCTCATTCTCTTCCTGCCTCCCACCACTCCTTCCCACGCCCTTCTCTCTTCCTTTTCCAAGTACAACTTTACTTCGAGGTTCCTATCTGGTTTTGCTAGGTGAAGACAATTGAAAGAGAATAGGGTTCAAGATGAAGGAATTTGCTGGGCTGTTGCTCCTCAGTCATCGTGTTAGGTGTTGTGACTACTGACTGCCCATCTCTGAAGCTCCTGGGACCCTGCTCTAATGCAGAAGTTGGAAGGACAGTCATCCTGCAAAGCCCGAGATCCTGGTGAGGAGGCCAACTTTGGCTTCATCCCTAAAGAAGATAGTGGAAACTGTAACAGAGGCAACTTCTCTGATGGGGAATAAAACCGTGAGGTCACCTGGGCATGGTGTCGCACACCTACAATCCCAGCACTAGGTTATGCTGACTCCGGAAGTTTGCGAGTTCAAGGCCAGTCTGTGCCACACAGGAAATCTGAGGTTACTCTGGGTCACAGAGGGAGGCTCTGTCTCAACAAGTCAAAACAAATAGGAGGCCAGAAACAAAGTTTTGACTTTAGCTCTTATAACTGAAAACATGGAATCAGCCCAACCTTAGCTCCTTTATTTTAATTTTAGATTTCGGCAGGATGGCTGTGGGGTGGCCAGATAACACATGCATATTCTACTTTTCTGGCACACAGTGTATTTTAGCCCATCACACGCCACCGTAGTACTTTCTGAGGTCTGTTCTTATCCTGTAACCACTTTTCATGCTCAGGCTTTGCAATGCATCCTTCTCGGCTGTGGATGGCCACTGAGGTCTTGCAGCCCCAGTCAGCCCCAGGTGGTTTTGACCTGAAAAGAGGAAGGAAGGAAGGAAGGAAGGAAGGAACGGCCATGAAGGAAGCTGCTTCTGGTTCTGCCCGTGTGTGGAGCCTGTGTCACAGACAGGTAGGGGAGGCTTACCGAAGGCTTCCGAGAGTCCAAACACCTTCTGGTTGTAGACATCCGTCTTGTCCCAGATGAAGTAATAGGACAGGTCAGGGGCTGCAGCAAACCACTTCCGGAAGAGGCGACCCTCGACTGCCACCATGAGGTGGACCTTCATGAGGTTGAAGGGGATGGTGGGGTGCGTGAGGCTGATCCTCAGGACAGACTTGTAGCCAGGGGTGCGGCTGCTCAGATAGCTCAGCCTCATCTTGCAGCCAGCAATGGTGATTTCCTCTTGCAGGGCCTGCAGCACAGACAGATCACGGCAGGGATGTCACTGGAGGTCACGGCGGAAGTGACATTGAAGACTTTGTGGACTTCAGGTGTTCAGGGAGCACAGGAGGAAGCGGAAGGGAAGGAGGTGAAAAGGAGAAGGAAGAACAGCAGGAAGAAGAAGGTAGGGAGAGGTGAGGAAAGAGGAAAGGGATGAGGAAGGAGGAATAGCCCTGGTCTCCAGGGCCGGTTCCTACACGGTGTACCTACATTAACAAACTCACCTCCATGAGCCTCGGGGGCCCCTCCCCTGTGGATGAAGTTATTTTATCACAGCCCTGAGAGGACACATACAATAATGCACATGGGATACTCAACAATGCACACCTCTGACTCATTAGCTATTTCAGTCAGGAAAACACAAGCATCTGGGAATCTTCACTTCCTTACTGAATCAGCACCAGTAAGGCCACATACTCGAAGTGCCAGGCCCATCCCTGTCATGAGGCAGGACAGTGGTACGGCTGGTACCTGTGGTACAGACAGCAGGGGTGCCATGAGGAGACACTAAGGTCAACCGCAGCCTGAGCCTGGTGGATGGTTTCTATCCAAAGCTTTCTTAAAGTGAGATGTAGTTTCCATGTTTCCTTTCTGGGAAGGTCAACAGAGACCACAGGGCTGAACAAACCCATCATCAGGCAGCGCTTGAGAGCCTGGCAAGAACCTGTTCCAACGTCCCAGTTCATCTCTAGAGAGCTCGGGTTGGCTACATGGAGTCTGCAGGGCACACTGGCTCCCAACTCCAGTGCCTTCCAGATGAGCAGAGCAGGGAAGGCAGCAGGCTCAGGCTGAAGATGGAAACACTCAGCGAATTCCAGATGATCACCCATAAGGCAAACGCAGGGGACTGTCATCAGCGTGGTGCTCTGGGCTCTTTCTCAAGAAAGGAACATTGAATCAATTGAGCCTAACATGTCCATTCAAGGGACGATGGCTATTTTTATCCTGTGTTGACAGAGGAACTGAGCTGTTTCATTCTGTTTATTCCGTGGAAGGGTGTAGACTTTTTGTCTATGCTTCTTTCTTGAATACAGGAAATGCTATGGATTGGTAGGGACAATCCACTGTTGTCTTCTCAGGCCACAGTTTATAGTTCCAGGCAAAGCAGGCTATACACGGGGGTGGGGGTGGGGGGACCCACAGGCAGTACTTGAGTGCCGGCCTGATGCTCTCATAAATATTTCCCTTCCTTAATGCACCCATCACAGTTTCCACATCCCAGCACTTGCAAAGATTAACCAGCAATGGGACTGGGAAAACAAAGAGTTCGTTTTTTGTGTGTGTGTTTTTTCAAGACTAACAATAAGCAAGGTTTGTGCCCCAGCTGAACCTGTAGGCACCCAGCTCAGAGAGCACTGTAAAGAGGGTGTGACCTTGAACCTCATTTGTTCCACAGTCCCTGCTCCTGGGAAAAGATGTCTGGCTGGAGCTGAGCCAGGGCTGAGTAACAAATTACTTCTCTCCAGCAAGTTCTGTCTCTGCTGACAAGCATTTCATACAAAAGGTCAGCCCGGCCATTGAGACGGGAGACAGGCGCTGAATCTCTGAGAAGCGAGCACAATGAGAATTCAGAAACGGCCGTGTTTCCTTCCCGGGGACTGGCATTGGAAACTGCTCAACGGGGCACACTCGGTGAGATGTGCTTGCTCATCCGGGCATGAAATACACACACATAAATGTATAAACGCTCTGCTCTGCCAGCACCAGGGCAATCCATTAACATGCACATTGCTGGAGGTCTCATTAGGCAGGCAGGTGACCCGGGCCTCTCCAGGCTTCTGCACTGCCACTTCCCTATCCTTGGGCCTTCTTTTCTGCCTAAAGACAGCAGACTGGGGATGATGGAGGAGATCCAACTCAGTATGGCTTTGCTCGGTGAAGAATCTATCTTCATTTTCATCAGATTAAAATATATTTTTCTCAATTACTTCCCTTTAATGATAATTAAGTAAAACATTTGCATGTGTAGATTTGATCCAAAGCAACCCTTAATTGGCACGAAGGCAGCATGTGCTAAATAATCTTAGTAATGATAATAGCTAAAATTTATCGAGCACTTAGTAGGTGTCAGACATTGTGCTAAGTACCTCACGTTACATTTTTCTTATTTACTCTTTATTAAAATTCTTACTAGTTGGGATCCCATTGCTTATTCCTATTCATAGAAACTATTATTGTAAGTACTTTTAGCAGAAAGACCAAGAGAGGTAAGACTCTGAAAGCAGAGGAGGAGCAAAGTAGAGTGAAGAGGATGGCAGAATGGAAAGAACCAAGGGGTTTATTGTAAGCCCTAGTGTGCCAGGCAGACTGTGGTCCCGCACCAGTCTTTAGCATGTAAGATGGCCCTCATATCCTGATGCCATCTCTACTATAGGGTTTGGTCCTTGGGGTCTCACCCAGGCCTATATGGGTGCTTTATTGATTTCCACTGTCTCTGAGATTCTCCCCTGTCCCCAAATAAAAATAAAAGATGGTCTGATGTCGTCAAGAAGTCTGAGTACCTGGATTTCTGGGACAATGGGGCCTTTCTCAGCACAGGAACTAGCGAAGGATGTCAGCGGGGATGGAGACACCACAGGGTTGGGGCGGGCAAAGTTGCTCAGGTCACAGCTAGGAATCTCATTCTCCTCATGTCTCATGATGATGGTTTCCATGACAAAGAAGCGGTCCCAGGGTAGCCACAGGGTATGCTCTTGTGTGATGAAGGGTGCCCGTTCGAATCTCAAGATGATGGAGATGCCGCCGTTCGTGACCAGGTCAAAGCTGCAGTTGGGGACAACAGCAGGAAGAAGAGGAGGAGGACAGTGAGATACTGAAAGGCGAGAAAACCACAGGAAGGGGCTGAGTCCTTGGTTGAGAACTACTCTAACATCCAGAGACTGGACTGCAGCCACAAATAGTGACAATGACTCCAGAAACCACTAGTTGTTGCTATAAAATGATTGGCCGGGGAGGGTTTACAGCTGTCAAATTAAGCACTGCACGGGAGCTGTTTAGCAGGACCCAGGGCAGCTGGTGAGCCTCTGCTCCTGGTCCTGTCGCTGTGTCAGAACCAGAGCTCGCTAAGGAGCCAGCAGAATGAGACTGAGTAAGTGTTACCCGGGCATGGGGAAGCCTGAATCCAGTCCTTACTGCCATGAAGTAACCATAGTGTGGCCATGAGTAAATCAGCCAGCCTCTCTGAGCTTTGGTTTTTCTCATCTATAAAACCCAAAGGTTCATGTGGATTATTTTGCTGTGTGTATGTGTACATCTGTGTGTGCCTGTATGTGCATGTACTGTCTGCCTGTGTATGTGTATGTATGGAGATCACAAGCTGAAATGAAAAATTAAAAATTTAAATTTTTAATCGTTTTAACAGCCATGTGCATTTTGAAATGAGCATGATCTGTAAATATGCTCAGTGTTAACATAGCCAATTTACATAATATTTATTAAGCCTGCTGAAAAAAAAATCAAATTTTAGGGCAGAAAATGAAGACTTGAGGGCAGTACGGGCAACATAACCTTTGAAGGACTTTGTTTACATCAAACAAAATTAGAGGTTTTTTTTGTTGTTGTTGGTTTTACTTTGGAATTGTAATCAAGGGTTCGATAACTTATGTTTAAAGGAGAAGGTATACCTGCTGGTTAAAATCACTTCTGTCTTGAGCATCCTCTTTGAAGGAAATACAACACACATCCTTTTCAAGGAAACAACCACACAATTTCCTTTTCCTATATATTTTAGAGTTACTAATCAAGTATAATTCTATATGTAGGATTATGCTTTCATCTTTAAAATAAACAATTAGCATTTAATAGATTTTTGAAAATCTATTAAACATGCATTTGCAAATGTATGCAAAGTTTGGGCAACTGCAAACTTCACTGTATTCTAGACAACATCAGCACAATTGTTATTGTTTGATACTATGGATCATGTTCAAGCCCTCACTTGAATTTGCTTTGAGGCTTTAATTTTTGTGTGTGTATTTGTGTGTATGCAGTTATAAACGTAACAGAAGTAGTCATAGTCATTGATACTAGTTCACTTAAAAATTTGGAATTGCAAGTAAAGAAAAACCTGATATTCAGACACATTCTTGACTTGTTAAAGACTAGTTAGATGTGGTTGAGTTTGTTTTGAACCAATGGATACCTACTTAAATATCTTCACTGTCCTCTCAACAAAGCAAAGTTATCATCTGCTGGCCATGTTATGATTAGGAAGGAGCATGCAATCTCAAGTTTTTGTTTCCAGTGGAGTTTGGTTGTTAAAGCTTTTTTCTGGACTAAGCTTTTTGGCAGTGAGATCTAACATTATCTCACTGGAAAGATGAAGGCCCTGATTAGAAATAGAAGTGGAGATCCAGTCTCAGCGTGTTAGAATTAGGGTTATTTAAACACTGCATTATCATGGGACTCTTTCTGATTTTGAATTACAACATTGTTGCTCAGAAATAAGTATTTTTTCCTCAGTATGTGCATATTGCAACGTTTGATCATAGAAATACATGCTTTATTTAATTAATTTTATGTATGCAAAATCTATAAATCTTTTGTAAAACGTATTTTATATAATTGCACATGTATTAAACCATTGTTAGCACATACATATGTAAAACTGGTTTTTAAACTTTTTGCTTTGTTTTTCATATTTTAAGGATATGAAAAAATATTAATAAAGTTTCTATTTTATTAATTTGAAGAAAACAAAAAACAATAAACAAACAAACATAAAATACAAGCTGCTATGAGTGTCTTCTTCAATTGTTTCTGTACATTATTATTATTGTTTTTGTTATTTGATACATCTCTCTCTCCCCTATCTCTCTTTTAAAATTAAAAAAATTTTTAGGCAGAGTCTGTCTATGGTCCTGGCTGTCCTGGAGCACACTATGTAGACTAGGCTATCCTTGAACTCAGAGATTCTCCTGCTTCTGCCTCCCATGTGCTGGGATTAAAGGTGTGCACCACCATGCCTGGACACTGAGACAAGTCTCTTCCTGAACCCAAATCTTACAGTTTTGTCTGGACGAGCTGGATGGTAAGTACATCCCTGGGATCCACGTGTCTCTCCTCCCAGCTTTCATGTGGTGGTGAAGATCTGAATTCAGATCCTCATGCTTGCACAGAAGCATTGGTCTCAAGTCCTAAGTGGCCAAGCAGTTTGAGACTGTGCAATTAGAACCACGGTGTCTTGTAAGTAAAAGGGGAGATGGAAGCCTGAGTGCCTGGCTGAGATGAAATCACCGTGACTGTGTGTCCCGAGCCAGGAGCTCAGCTTCTGTTCATGGCTCTGTGCTCTCCAGCCCTTCACTGCCTCAGACAGCTTTGCACTGGACCTCTTGTTTCAGGTTTGTGTGGGAGCATGTAGGCGGAATCCTCCTTACTCTCTCTTACTCTCAGATAGGACCCACCTCACCCCTGCCAGAACATATTAGTAGTTGTAGGGTTCTGGTGTCTCAGTCCTCCCACCTGCAGAGAAAGCTTGCCAGGCGCTTGCCCTGATAAACTGGGGATGTACACCTTTCAGTTTTGGAAGTCCAAGGAGTGTGAGTCCCCATTTGTATACCTTAATGTTTCTGTCAGTTGCCAGTTCTCTGGGGGGGGGGGAGGTTAGCCTCTGTTCTACAGATGCATGCTCAGAGGCTGGGAGAACTCAGGCTGTGCACACAGGGACTAGAAATCAAGGTGTGGCGCACATCCTGTAGGATTGTCTGCTGAGCCGAGAACAAGGCTTGGCTGTCACCTCAGGCCCTGTGTTTGGTGTGCAGGAGTCAGGCCTAGAGTTTTGTTATTTTCCTAAAAAGATAGTTTGAAGTCATGGAATAGCTGAGCCCCTGGGAGGGGAGTTAGGGATCGTGTACCCAAGTCTCCCCTGGTGTGATGGGCTGGTCACTTCTACTGAGTCCCCGTCAAAGGGCCATTAATTTCATACTTGGCTTGCTGCAGCCACAGGAGGACAGGCCCATCCCATCTTTGGGTAATTCTGACCACTAGGGCTTTAGTATCTGTAGCACATCTGGGTCTCCCTCATCCTAGTTCTTATGGCTTGGGCTTGTTTTTACCTGCTCTGATGATTTGAGACCAGTGGCTCTGTCTGCCAGCTAGCCTCTACTGTTGTATCTCCCTGGACAAGGTCTTCTCAGGAGAACCAGGACATTTAGCTTTACAGTTTTATTTTTGAAACAGAGTCTCTTTATGTAGACCAGGCTGGTCTTCAACTCAGTTCTTCTGCTCCAGCCTCAAAGATGTGAGATTTCATATATGTGCTATCATACCCAACTAGGGTACATTTGGAAAGCCCATAGTCACTTTCTCTAAAAGGCCTTGCTCAAGCAGAATTCTAGCTCCCTCCTAGGGTCTATTGTACCATGGAGACTCCCAACAGCCCACACTGCAGTACACTGCAATTGCTCCAGTGCCTGAGCCATTAATTTCTCTGTCCTTCCAGGAACAGGTCTAGCCCTTAGGCTATAGAATGAATACATGAGAGACACTGCCACTTGTGGTGATATACTTGTGTACCCTAACAAAATTTGCCTGAAGATGATAGGACAGAACAAGCCACTAGATTAAACATAGAAGCCAGGCAGTGGTAGCACACACCTTTAATCCTAGCACTCAGGAGGCAGAGATCCATCTGGATCTCTGTGAGTTTAAAACCACCCCGGACTCCATGAGACTGACTCAGATTAGGAGAGAAACAGAGCCAGGCAGTGGTGGTATACACCTTTAATCCCAGCACCTGAGATCTCATGCCTTTGCTTGGGAAGTTACATGCCTTTAATCCCAGCACTAAAAAGGAAGTGATACGGTGAGTGGAGAAAGGTATATAAGGCGTGAGGAGACAGGAACTAGAGCTTTTTGGCTGAGGAAGCTCATTTGGCCAGAGACCTATTGGCTGAGGCTTTTTCAGGTTGAGGAGTTGGCGAGGTAAGAGGTGGTGGCGATGGCTTGTTCCTTGTCTCTCTGATCTTTCAGCATTTACCCTAATATCTTGCTCCGAGTTTTTCATTATAAGACTTTTAGAAATTCGAGCAACAACCACTGCTTCTAAACTGACTGTCAAATGCTCTGAGTCCCCGCTTACTTTGGCTACTGACACAAGTCAGTCAACTCCGATCACCTCTGTCGTCGGGTGAGACCCCTCCGTGAAGGATGTCATCATTGCCTTGACAAACGCTACTCTGCATGGCTGTGACCGCTGCTCCGGCTGCTCTTTCCTTCCTTCTGACATTTAACCATCTGTCCCAGAGGCAGCTGCTCATGGGAGACCACACTCCCAGTTGTGGGTCCTCAAACTCCAAAGACACACTCTTCTCTCCGCGGGAACTTTCCACATACTTGGCTGCTCAGGGCCCTTTCTACGCTAACCTTTAGAAGTGGGACACCACCGTCCTCCAGGAAGTGATGATGGAGAAACACCAGGGTGGGTATCTGTTGTTGTCTAGGAGTCCAGGCTGTGGCTGTCCAGGAGAATGCCCACAGTTTTGGGGGAAACATTGACAGGCTGACATTCTTGTCACAGAACTAGTTAGGATCTGCACTTTGCCAGAATGTTTCTGACAACCAAACAGAAACTTGGCCAAGCTCACAGGCTTTGCTCAGGAGAGGCAGCCTGTAGGTAGGGAGGGGACGACAAACATGGAAAGATTTCTCTTCAAGGCTGTGAGCAGGCCAGGGCAGCTGGCCATGCCGGGAGATGAGTGCAATGGGCTGAGGCCGGGCCTGCTCATCTGGCAGGGAAACCCTGTTGTGGATGTGAATGTGAATGTGAGCCCGGAGGGGAGGCCTGGTTCTCAAATGGAGCCCACTCTCGCTGGTCCAAGCACCACTGCTTATATTACAGGTGAGTTATACCACTCTTCCAAGCCTCAGTTTCTCTATCTGTAAAATTAGGCTGACCGTCATAATCACTTGGCAGGGTTACTAATTAGCTAGATGGGTGATGGATGGAAGCCCAGGGTCCCTCATGTTCCCTGGGCATCACATTCAAGACAACCCCACGTTTCAAGTCAATGAGCCTGACCTGCTCCCCCTGTTAAGAATTCTCTTAGTTTTTCTTCATGACTTGTAATTTCCATCTTTTAAATGATCTTTTTGGGTAATTTTTCTGTTACTATTTTCTGTGTATGAACTACTGTTAAAATTTGAAGTCGTGTGTGTGTGTGTGTGTGTGTGTGTGTGTGTGTGAGGTGGGTGGGGAACTGGTGAGAGTGTCATGATGCTGCCTGGAGATCGAAGATGACACAGGCGACTCAGACGCAGCCTAGGCCTTCGGGGCATCTCCACTCATTCTCACCTCCTGCCTATCTTTATCCTCGTGGCTTTCTCCTATGTATCAGGGTAAGAGAAACTGAGTCAGGGAAAGGAGGAGGGGAGTGGGCCAGATGCTCCCTGCTCACACACAGTGTTGGAAAGAGCATTTTAGCCCCACAGTGCATGGGTAAGAACTGGTTTGAAATGCACATTCTAAGTTGCACCACTTCTGACCATGTCACAGTGTGGGAGACTGATGCGGGAAACCTCCCTTTGGGTACTTAATATCCCCGAGAAGCAGGAGATATGGCCAGCATAGCACAACCAGGGAAATCGTAGCCTGGGGAGCTAAAGAATAGGTGATTGCTGGGGTCGCCACATACAGGATTATGATGGCATGTTTCATGGACCTAGTCCAAGCAAGCCCAGAGGTGCCTACTGACAGTTTGCTCTTTCATGTGGTAAGTTTGGTGGCAAAAAGAGCAGTCTGGAAAAGCTCCATTTTTGATGACTGTTCCCCTGTGGGTGGGAGCGCTCTAAGAATATCCATGCCCTAGGATACCCACAGCTGCCATTTCTGTACTATCCCAAACCCGAAGACAGACATAGTGAATAGGGGACGCTCCTTCCTATCCTGGTGGGTCTGCTGAGGGGCTTCTGGGCAGAAATATGCAGGGCAGGGAGCAGTGGCCTGGCCTGACCAGTTTGCTCCCTGGGGACTGGCACAGACCTCTTCCAGCTGGGCCCTTCCCACTGCCACGGAGGAGGGAAGACGCCCCACACCAAGCTTGCCAAGCTGTCTAAGAGGCACACATGTCTCCAAACAGATGAGTCCTGATTCATTATCACCTCGGCTGGGACATGCTCACATCTGATATTGGATTAAAGAGGTGCTAAAATCAATCAGGCTGGAGCATAATTTCTAACTCAGAGTGAAGAATCAACCGTATGGGCCCACGCTCAGCCAGATGGACTGACACCACCTGATTTCATTAAAAATAGAGGACTTAGCACCATTGACGGGCTAAATAGTCCACTCGCCTTCTCTTTTCTAAAATATTTGTGCTACTAGCTCCTCATTATTTAATAATTCATCATAATTTGTAATTTCAACATCCACTATTTATTTGCTTACTATGTGTCACATTAGGAAGTGAATCCTAGTGTGTGGCAGGAAATCATGATTTATTAAACACGTACTATGTGCTAGGTGATTCCTCATCCCTTGTACTGTCCTATCCATTCTCCTAATTCTCACGACCGGTTTATGAGGCAGACATGGTTACAGTCATGCTATGATGAAGCGGCTGAGGGTTGGGGAGGCACTCTTTGCCCAAGCCTACTCTAGTCATTTGGGGAGATCCAGGGCCATCAAGAAAACCCTAGCTCTACTTCATACTGTTGATAGTTCTCAGGGGAATTGAAAGGCCTACAAAGACTCACGGAAAAGATGATAAGGCTAAGCAGCCCTGTGTTTACGTGAGAGCCTCATGGGAAGGTCGGGCTTAGTCTACAGCTCAAGCGACAGAGGTCAGAGTCAGGCACAGGTCACAGAAGACAATGTCACAGAGCTGGGTGTTAGGATGTAGGCTGTCTGGATCCAAGTCTGACCCTCTGTCCACATGATCAACCCAGAGGCAGCTGTGTTGCAAGACCACAGGCCCCAACTCTCCCTGGCCCACAGAAGGTCTCCTACCTGCCATCCTGCCTGCTGATTGTGTACCCAAAGAGTGGGTTATTGATGAAGCTGATGTTCACACCAACCAGCGGGGTCCCATCTGACGTCATCACTTGTCCACGGATGACACATGCATGCCTGTGGGAAAAGAAGCGGGAACAGCATGAAGTACCTTTCATGGTCAGCAGGGAACCCCCAGAAGTCATAGCCAGAAGGCTGGTCATTTAGACACACCTTACATCCAGGAGCCCCAGGTGTTCACTTCTGATAATATCTATCACCTCTCAAGGTATCAACGTGTCCTTGAGATAATCACTCTGGGGAAATGTTTTCACATTTCTCACCCCAACGTTGTTTTTCTAAGGCTATTATTTGATGTAAGGAGAGAAAGCTGATCCCAGGGAAGACCACAGTATAGTTACGAAGGGACTATAGAGTCAGGTGCCCTGGGTTCAAATCCCAGCTCCGCTACTTGCTACATCTCTGAACTTGTGCGGGTATGTGACAGGTCTTTGAGCCTCATCTTTCTTTGTTTCTTTTCTCTCTGGTTTTTTGTCTTGGTACAGAGTAAATGACAATGACCACCATCATGTTACTGAAAGTGAGGACACAAAAAGAGATCGGGATGGAGGGGTGTACTTCCTTCCACCCAGCATTAGAAAGAGAAGAATAGATGATCGCATCCCCTTGGGGTGTCTCCTTGGGAACCCGTCCCCACTCCCAGCCCTCACTCCTACTTGTTCCCTGTACTCTAGACAGCAAACCACGTGCTTTTCCTGCATTTGCCAGGAGAATGTTGTATGGTGCCTGTGTGTGTGTGTGTGTGTGTGTGTGTGTGTGTGTGTGTGTGTGTGTGATGTTCTCCCATCTGCCTAAAATGTCATTTCTGCAAGCGCCTCCCAACATTCTCGTCCCTCAACACCCACTTCAAAGGACATCGCTCCTCGAAAACTTTCTTGATGTTCCTGTTCAGAACTCATACCTCACTCCCTCACAACCTCACACAGATTCCTCGGTACCTTGCCAAACTGCATATCCCTCTCTTCTCCACCTGTATCTCAGGCTGAGGGCATGGCAAGGCTTTCGCCATAGTGCAGTGCCTGGACCATAACCAGCAAGTATTCAATCAGAGTAACAAACAAACAAACAAACAAACAAACAAACAACAGGTATTGAGCAAGTGAACGGGACTATTTGCCGTCATCTAGAGTGACGGTTTGCACATATTTCCGAAATAGAATCATTTTATAGATGGCATTTTCCAAGGACCTCAAAGTAGGAGAAAACCAAAACGAAGACCTGCCCTAGATGCAATGGTGACAGAATTCCTCCTTCCTCTGGGTGCTTCCAAAGGAAACTTGGTGGGGCCTCTGAAGGAACCATCCGGAAAGTTGCAGGATCCTTTCATTTTAATCAGGAGGAGCTACCTTGTTATTTGTCTGAGCCACTAGGAAGGTGGCAGCAGAAGGTGGCTGGACTCTGGGCCTTACATTTCTAGGCCCAGGTCTGTGGGTGTGTTTTCCACGAGCAGTGGGTGGGGTGTCGGTGTGAGTGAATTCACTCTCCAGTGACTGCTCTGAGACATCAGGCCCCATGCACACAGCCATTGGTGACAGGTCTCAGGCAAAAATGCAGGTGCTGTTACTCACAGCCTCTCCATTCCCCTGCATCAGGAATCCCCCCTTTTTTTTTCTTCTGGCCTATGGAAGAGCTACTGATAAGGCCTGTGGGCATTTATGGGGGGAAAATAATCTCCAACTCTATCCCATCATTATTAGGCACCCAGATCCTTACTTCCCTCAAGTGATAAGCTTTTCTCTGTTTGATGAGAAAAGCAATTAACACCAGGCTTGCAAGCAGCTGGTCTCACTAGTGTCAGCTTGTCCTTTCTGAAGGCAACAACAACTACCCACAATGCACTACAAGCCTCACCCCCCCCCCCACCTCACCTCACCTCACTCTGCACAATCTGGCTAGTGCTAATTCAGTCAGTGGTTTCCTTCGGAGGCCCTTGGTCTAAATGCAATTACATGGCAAACCAGTTAAGCAGGCAAGGCTCAGCGAAGACTTGCAGTCCTGTTCCGAAGGTCTCTCCATGTATTTATGTGAAATTATCTTTCCACTAATGGGAAGGATTTATTCCATCAATTGCATTCAGCTGGTACTGAGAGAGGCTTTCTTTAATGGAGGACAATTGAATTTTGTATTGCTGGAACTTTGTCCTTCTAGTGAATTACTAACAGATCTCAGCGCCTGGTCCTGGCTACTCTCCAGCCTCCTGACATGCACAGTACCTTTGGATTCTGCCTGGACGGTAAGCAGCCCTCTGAGGGTGGTTTCCTTCACGGGGCTGCCCTGGCTGCCCCCACCCCATGCGCATGCGGACCGGCATCCTCTGATTGATTGCTCTTTGGGGGATTTCCTGGTCGTTGGGAAACGTTAACTCAGCACCATTTGGCTATCGTTTAGTCTCTGTCCAGCAAACCAGAGCAGATGTGATGTCAGTGCAGGCTCCTGCGGACTGCTTTGGATTCTGGAGAAGATTAAGTGGACTCGCCAAGCCCCTCCAGGCCACTGAGGCCTCATGGCAAGACAGGCATTTGGCTCAGAAACCCAGTCCTAGAGGAAAACACTTCCATTCTTTTTCTGTTTAACCACAGTTTTCAGTTGTCAAGAAAACCCTGTTTAACATTAAGACTTCCCCGCAACAAAGGAGATGGGGAAGTCACTTTGTGGAGGCCTCTGTATGTGTTTCGTGCCATGTGCTTTGTCTAGGGAGGTTTGAAAAGATGTGAGTGCTAGATTTCCCAATGATTGCTTCCTTCATGTAGTTATTCAATGGATGCTACCAGTGGGGTATTGGTCAATGTTTAAGGCTAGATTAGAGAGTGCGAGGGAAAAAGAATAGGAAAGGGAGAGGGGGAGGGACTGGAGCAGTTGTAATTTGTAGTATTTACCCATTCCTGTGGTATAAATACTCCCATCACGGCTGAATTCAAGCTACTGACATGATGCCACTGAATACAGAGTTGGGAAGAAATGCACAGTAGTATATATACTATTATGTAATATTTCTGTGTCAGGGTTACATTAGTCTCAAATAAGCTTAAAAGCAATAATAATTATAAAATACAATAAAAAACTTAGGAAGTGATAAGTTTTGAGTATTTGTAACCCTTTAATATAATTCAATTTTATATAGTTTAGGTTTTTTAATTTAAATTGAAAATTTTATTTTACGTGTGTGTATGTCTGTGCACCACATGCATGCCTGGTGCCTGTGGAGGTCAGAAGAAGGCATAGGATCCCCTGGGACTAGAGTTATAGACTGTTGTGAGCCACCATGTGGGTCCTAGAAATCAAACTTGGGTCTTCTGGGAGACTAGCCATATCTCTAACACAGTACAGTTTAATCTTTATTAATGGCTGTTTAGCAACCAGCCTACCAAATTCCTAAACATTTAATAATTGGTTCTTTCAGTTCTTTTTGTCTGTTTTTGTTTGTTTGTTTGTTTGTTTTTGCTTTTGATTCGTTTTGTTTTTCAAGACAGGGCTTCTCTGTGTAGTCTTCGCTATCCTGGAACTCACTCTGTAGACCAGCCATGAACTGGTCATGAACTCAGAGATCCACTTGCCTCTGCCTCCCAAAGGCATGGGCCACCATCACCAGGCTGATAATCAGGTCTTATGAGCTCAAATGGGTTGGTGTTTGCATTCCCCTGGGACATTGACCTCACACTGAAGGTCAGGCTTAGTGTTGTGACTGGGGCTAAGATACAACAGCTGCTTCTTGGACTGTAAAACTCTACCTTGCAAGAAACCACTGACGAAGGTGAGAATCACTGTTACTCCGAAGGTGAGAATCATTGTTACTCCAGGCTTCCTAGCTAGCTCAGGGCAAACCTGTGCTAATTGTTTGTTTGTTCGTTTGTTTTTCCAATTGGATATATGAACTGGGGTTCTCTTGGAAGACAGAACCTCAACTGAAAACATGTCTCCATCAGATTGGCCTATAGGCAATTCTGTGTGGGCATTTTCATGACTAATGATTGATATGGGAGGGCCCAGACCACCGCAGGCAGTACCACTCCTGGGCTGGTGGTCCTTGGCTCTATAACAAGGCAGGCTGAGCAAGCCATGAAGGGCAAGCCAGCAAGCAGCACCCTTCCATGGCCTCTGCATCAGCTCCTGCCTCCAGGTTCCTGCCTTGAGTTCCTGCCCTCAAACCCTTCATGATAGACTGTGATCGGGGCATGTAAACCAAATCAACCCTTTCCTCCCCAAGTTGCTTTTTGGTCACGGCATTTTATAAACAGAAATAGAAAGCAAGCTAGGACAATGTCTCTTTCTTTCCTCTTGGTCACTTTCTTGGGACAATGGAGGTTGGGGGTATTACTTTCTAGTCACCCTTAGGGTCTATTACACTATCAGCACTCCAGTAAGGCTGTCATCAACTCTTCCTGGTGTAATTAATACTCTTTCCTCTGAGCACCTCTAGAACTTATGATTATTTCTCCATGGCACTGATTGTCTCACGATTACACCGTTCACCTTTACAAAGCTGGCTCACGTGTCTGGGACTGTGACTCACTTCCACTAGGAAGGGCAAGCATGGGATGCAGCCTCCTGTTTGTTAAGTGAATAATGACCAAGAATTTGAAACTCAGAGAGAATATATTGGCTCAAGGTCACCCAGATATTAACTCGATTGGCTTAGTTCTCACTTCTGAATATATATATTGGTTTTTCGAGACAGGGTTTCTCTGTGTAGCTTTGCAATTTTCCTGGAACTCACTTGGTAGCCCAGGCTGGCCTTGAACTTACAGAGATCCGCCTGGCCCTGCCTCCCAAGTGCTGGGATTAAAGGCGTGCACCACCAACCGCCCAGCATCACTTCTGAATCTTTATGGCGACTGCTGTGTCATGTATCTACAGTCACAAAAATCCCAGCTGCCTCCAATGAGCCAGGCACTGTGCTAGGTGCTAGAGTTACTGAGGTGTATGAATCCCAGTTCCTGGTTACTTGCTAGAGCTCACAAAAGCCATTTTGAAATGCTTTAGTGTGTGCTTCCCTGTTATCAGAGTGTCAACACATGGAATTAGCATATGTCAGGCAGCTGGGACACAAAACAAGCAAT